TAAAAAGACACTTGCAGTTTACTTCATCACCAAGTTGCTTGTATATACTTGAAATAAAAAAGAAAGACAGAGCAAGAGCAAGGAAAAAAAACGCATCAGCCGTTGAAGTGTTATCTTTTTTTAGTATATACCTTGAGTTGTTTTCTCCAATGATATCTTAGATTCATTTCTTCGCTTTACTCATTATCATCAGTCTCATCTATATTTAAAGGTTTCTCGTGTTTTTTTTGTACGATGCACGTTGTTAAGTCCGTTTTTAATAGTCAACGCATTTGATTGCTTGTTCGATTGATATTCGTTTGGGAGAAATTTCATTGTTTCATACGCTTGTCGAGAGTAACTCCTAATGAAAAAATAGATTTCGATTTTTCACTTGCAGAGTGTCAAAAGGAAAAAAACTACCATTCGTCACACTCGTTCATCTATGCATACACACACAAGTCATAATTCAATGATTGACTCAGTCAAGTGACATTCGAAATCAAAGATCAATATCGCACGCACGAATGTCTATTAGAGATATGTATATATTGAGTATAGATGTTGTTATTGTCTGGATTGAAATAGTGACACGCTGATGGATATGTGTCATGTAATTTACCCAAGTACAGTTTCGATTTCGTTTTACCCATGAGATTCAATCATTTCCTTCAAATAGTTCACTAAGAGATGAAATATGTAGACGTATTAATTAAATAGACATCTTACGAGAAAATGAATATATTCATCATCTAAGATGCGAATGTACCATCGAGTCGAAAGTCAATTTCGCTTGCTAAAACAAACTCAAATCTGTTTATATGATATTTTTAACATTGTAAACATTTCGATGTGTGTTTTCTCATGGCAATTAGAAGGATAATGATTCAATACTCATAATACCATAAACGATAGTGATTGAAGAGAATATCTCGTCCTTTTTCTTCACTTTCTCTTCTCTCTATGCGATAAAATGATGTTATTTGATCGAGGAATTTTAAATAACATTCATATGCAAAGAAAAAGACTCGTAATATCAAATTATTTCCATCTCATTACAAGTGTACATTACATATTAGATTAGTTAGATGGAAATATCAATGTACTAGGCTGTAACATTGCAGATTTTTTCAAAGGAGAATTTTGTTCAAGCATGAATTCATCATTGTCAATATTTTCAGTACGTCAATAAAGAACCTCTCATAAATCAATCTGACTTTTTTTCTTCACAGTTAAAATTTTTAGCTCTGAAATGACGCACATTCATTGTCAACATAAATAATAAACGAGAAATGTTACCGGGCAGCTTAGAAAAATCCTTTTTTTCACTTTGGCAATGTCAATATCGTGTCAGTTGTAGAATTTACCATTGGTTTCAAGAATTGCCAATAGTAAAGAACATTCATACCTTGAAGAAGGTATAACGGAAGAAACATAACACGTAATGGTTTCTTTGCTGTTCTCGGGTCTCGCGTGATGGCAGAATAATACAGTATCATAATGACGACTTTCTCTTCCGTTAGTTTTCCTTCTCCCCTCCGACGTTGAGACTAATCCTTTTAATTTCACGATAGTGTCTCTTCACAATTAACTCTTTTTACATTCCCTAAAACAAAACCCCGTGTCAGAAAAGAAAAAAAAAAGAAAGAAAATGACGACATCTGGAAACACGCTACAATATATGGTCACGAAAAATACCAAGTTCGAAGCTAAACTAGCTCGATATTTAATATCTGACCCAGGCGATCAACTTCTTGGCTATGATGCATGTATTGAAAAGCAAGGAAGTGCGATTAATTATCGTTTGATCGTGTTGGGACTGGAATCGATTTATCTAACAGACAATCCACCGAAAATTGCTCAACTTGAACAGCCGTATATTCATTACCGTGATATTCTCCGTGTAGAAATGGTTTGTTCGATCGAGTTCCTGAGAGCTAAGGTAGATTTTGTATTGAATATTTAGATCGATGATTATCCAGAGTTTCTAAGTGGAAATGAAAAATTGAATACATTACATATGCGTTTACGAGTGATTATGCCATTGAGTAAGGACAAAAAAAATAAGAAGAAAAAATCGAAATCGACCAGTGTTGACGACATGGAAACAATTCCAAGTTTATTCGATCGATTGACGCTAGAGAATATCAATACGTATATGGAAAACTTAAGTCCACGGTAAACATTTCTTCTCGATGGGAAACTCTCAGAAAAAAAAACAACATTCCTTTTCAATCTAGACGTTCATCATCGAACCGTGATCTGTATCAAGCACCATTACCTCAACTCTATGCAGCTATTCCTTTACTACTTTCTCCATTAGCATCTCTCGAATCGACAACGGCGTCAGCAATCAATGAAACAGATCCTCTACATTTACCTCTTCATCAACTTGATGATTTATCTGCAACTACCACGTCGAATACTTCGACAGAATTTCAGGAACGTCTCGATCAATTAAATCTCAGTAGTGATAGATCACATTTTCAACGTTTATTTTCTTCACGACGGACACTCTCCGATGAACAACGATCGACATCACGCTCGAAATCAGCACGATCATTAACGAAAAAAAAGACCAATACCGATTCAGACTGGCTCACTGATACACCAAGACTGAATCGTTATGTCTTACAGAGACACGAAGATGATCTTTACGGAACTTTACATACACCACGAAGTACTCCACGTCAAAACAACGACGAGAGCATGTTAGGAACAGCTCGTTCAACATTAACCGATCTTTCTGTAACAAGCAGCTTGAATTCCACGACTGCAGAGAATTCCAGTGTTTATTGCCCATCGATTGAAGAAGTTCGCAGGTAGTTAAGGCAAATGATTTGTCGTTGCGTCGTAGGATCCTTCGTTCAATCATCTACTTGATGTTTTTGTTTTCAGCAAGAGAAAAGAAACGATACTTTTTAGTATGTATCCGTTACGATTTTAGTTCTAGTCTTCTAATTTGTAGTTTCTGATATTCAATTCTTTTCGCACGATTTATTGATTTCGTTTATCTGTGCTTGTTTTTCTTCTGATTATCTTTAGTCTTCGTGGCGATCTTGACGATGACATGAAAGATATTGATATTTATTTTCTCAGTCTAAACGCTAAAATACCGGAAATTTTAAGTGCAGCGTTAAGTAATCACATCATTGTTTCCACATTTCTTTACGATGGTAACCGACAATTTTCTATTCTATCAACGGCGGATCGCCTACAATCTTCGTAAGATACTTCTGTTTTTCTCCAGCTGTTTGTTTACATATATCTGTTTAGCATGGATCTGACGATGAGAAAATTTTCAGAACTCAAATCAGAAATCTTACAATCGCATAATAATTCGAATCAGCTGCTGAAATTAACCGATGAGTTGCATAATGCATGTGAAAAATATGCCAAAGTCAAGGAGCTCTTTTGGAAGGTAAATTCATTCGCGCAAACAACTTATTCTCAAATGAGGAACTTCCCTTTAGGATACGGACCTATTTGTTTATTATATCGCACAATTTCACTCTTGTTCGCAAATTATATCAATCAATGAGTACGACGATAATACTTTAAAGTAAAAGAAGCACTTCTTCACGATCTCTGCACTTTTCTAGTTCAATTAGTTTGTCTTTTTCAATCATGCAATTGTTCAATCAAATTCTTCTCAATACGTTCGCATCTACCGAGCGATTAGCGCGCTTAACACACGACCAGTAAGTAAATGATTCGCATTTTCACATGCATGACTTCTAATCCTGCTTCTCTGTCTCCATCTTGAATTTGATCGTACTTGTTAACCTACACACACTTGTGTGAAATGTTCTTCTAGATGTTCGCGCTTTCAACTTCTCGCTGAATGTCTTCTGGCACCTCCGATAACGATACTTTCCGCTAAGCCGGCTTCAACAGCACCTGACGATTCCATAGATAATGAAATGTTAAAAGTAAACTGAGCATCGTCTTGAATATTCATGGAATAGTTTTCTTTTGCTTAAGAACACCTACAAATTGGTATTGAAATGGATGTTCATGTCAGGTGCTATTCTATGGCAAATCGGTGATATTCTTAGTCGACCATCTTGGACAGCGAAGAACTTTCGCTTTCAGCAATTTATCGAGCTATTTGAGAAAAAACAAGAAAAAGTAAGTAGATGTCTAATTGCATCGATTTTGTTTGAAAGAACAACGGGAGATTTCCTTTTTTTCTGCTCAACAACAATGCATCACGTATTCTATTCCGGAAGGAAAAAGGATAGATTTCAAAGAAAGTCTTAATTATAATTTCATTCAATTTAACCAGATTCATTCTGTAGATAATTATCGTTTATTATGTAGCTGAATAGTTCTGCACTGAAATGTCAAAGAGCTTGATGAATGCATTTGATTTTCTAGGATGATTATTTCGATTTATTTATCGATTCATTATCAAGATTAACAATGAATAACGACAACAAAGTAAGAAAATACATGGTGAGACGACGTACTTTCCTAGTTCGCTCTTCACTTTAGGATCCGTTGAGTCCAAAAAATGCACTGTATGTGTATCAACTATTTTCGATACTTTCGATGATATTGATCAATTCGACAGTCCTTTCCGAATATCTCCGAGATCGATATTTGGAAGATTTCAAGTAAGTTTTGTCTGTTCTTTCGGTGACCTGACGTTCATGCTTGTTCTCTTAGGTATTTTTTGAAAGGAGATGTTATACTTTCACGGATCCCTGTTCAATATCCAGTGTATCGTTTTATTCCCGATCTAATTCGTGGTGTTTATCATCGAATCATCTATGGTGAGCCAAATCTGAATCCGTCAAACCGCACGAAACATCGTCAACTGATTTAGTAGAAAATGCCAATTGACTCTGTCCAAATCAGATCTACTTCCGCAATAATATTTCTTATTTTTTTGCACTTTCTATGATTTGGAGTGAGCATTTGAATTTTGTTCGCCTTTAATCCCTTTGGTAATCTCTCACATTCATAATTTCATGTTCTGTCATTAGAGTGAATATTTTCATTTGACAAGAAAGGATTTATTCGACAATATATTTTATTAAAACAGTATAGTGAGGATTTCGACCGTATTTCGCACAGATTGTCACTTCATCCGAACCAACAGTTAACGTTCGTTGAAAGTTGCAATTAACAACATTTTCCTCTCGAAGCATACGAGAATTATTCGTCATTGTAGCTAGTACTGCTTCAGGTAAATAACAATGAAAATCCACTACCGACCCTCTTGTCAATTGACCGTTCAATGGTGAATAAATACGGCATTTATACGTCAGAAATTCGGGATAAATCGTCGGAAATTTTATCCGTTGCTGAAGATGAGTTACATGAAGGGGAAACATAGCAACTGACTTCGACTTCTTATCGTCACTGTTGATATTCCGTGCATAGATCATTAACTCATGCTCACCGGTACGCTCAGGTGCAAATAGAAGTTGCCAAACATTTCTTTCATAATCATATTGCACTAATGCACCGTTTTCTACCTTTTGATGTTTGTACTGAATCGAGCAGGACATTCGAACATCGTCTGGAGCTCGTATCAGTACTTCACTATAGGGACTATCGTCACACCATATTGCCGTGGCGCGAGAGCGTGGTGACTTGATTTTTAAATCGAAGTCATAAAATACTTGCCATGTTTGTGGAAATGACAGTGCAGGCGCAGCAATATGATTAGCTTCGATGTGATACGCCAAGGCTTCGTAGAACAGGCTATCATCAGATGTTTTCTTTGCTAATATAGTAGCATGGAAGAGACCATTTTTATTGGGTGCGAATCGGCAACACCAGATATCGTGTCGTCGATCATAATAAACCTCATGACCGCCCGAGATCTTCTGGTTTTGGTCGTTTGTCAACGAACCCATCAGGACGACATCGGATGGCGTCTTCAAACGTACTTCCACGAACGATCTATTGTCAGGTAGAACAATTTTACTACCACCTTCTGGATAGATCACTTCAAGCTTGAAATCATAGAAGATTTGTTTTGTGTCGAGAGGATTACCAGCAGAAGACAATTGTCGTGCATCAATTATATACGACGCTGCAGCAAAAAAGTTGCCAGAATCAGACTTTTTCTTTGCACAAATAAATCCTTGAAACGTGCCACTTCGGTTCGGTACAAATGTACAGCACCAAACATCACTTTCGCTATCATAGTGAATTGTATGACCACGTAAAATTACTTCTTTCCTATCATTTTCAAGTCGACCAACGAGAGCAACGTCGGCAGGACCTTGCAACCGAACTTCAACAGTTGGTTTATCATCAGTGACGACAATAATACCTCGACTGACGGGAGAAAGAATCTTCAGGTTAAAATCGTAGTATAGTTGCCAAGTCTTTGGAAACGAGAACGGTGGTAATGGAATTTGATTTGCACAGATTTTAAATAATATAGCCGATTGAAAATTGCCAGGATCGCTTGTTTTCTTTGCAAAGATCGACGCACTGAATATGCCACTCTTATTTGGAGCGAATCTGCACCTCCAATAATCCTTTTGTCGATCGTAATAAACTCGATTGCCACACGTCACTGACTGACCATCAGAATCAACAAGTTCGCCCATTAACTTAACATCAGATGGTGTACGTATTACTATTTGAGTAAATTTTTCGCCGCTGTTCATATTGATTAAATGTGTTCCCATCGGTGATACAAGCTTCATTCCAAGGTTATGAAAAAGTTTCCATGTTCGTGGATATGACATATTCGGCGAAGGAATTTGTTTTGCGTCGATTTTGAATGAAACCGCAGACCAATAACTTCCAGTGTCATTTTTTTCCTTTGCCATAATGGCTGCTTCGAACAGTCCATTCTGATCCGGCGCGAAATTACATTTCCAAATCTTTTCTTCTCGGCTGAAGTACACTTGCGCTCCACTGTTTAACACTTTACCGGTTTCGTCAGTCAATTTTCCTAATAGTTCGACATTTTCAGGTGCTTTTATCAAAATCTGGGCAAAGGCAACACCGTTCACAAGTTTGATCAAGTGCGTATCCTGAGGTGACATAATTTCCAACCCTAAATCAGTAAATGTTTCCCAGATTTTCGGAAAACTTACGCACTTTGCAGGCATTTGTTTCACATCTAATATTAGATCCATGGCTGAATGATACGATTCATTCTTGTCATCGCCTCTTTTTCCAAGCACCACTATTTTATGTTTACCTACGTTCGCTGGCGCAAAATAGCAGCGATGCATTTGTTTTAGTCTGTCAAAAATGATCTGATAGCCACCTTCAACCTTTTTACCATTCATTTCTAAATGTGCGAGAAGATGTACATCGGCTGGAGTCTTTATAAGAACGACGGCATAAGATCTTTCTGCTAGAAGATCAACATGAGCTAAATTACATGGACTAATCAATTCCATATTAAGCTGAAAATACAACGGGCGCAGTTTTGGCATTGACAAATACTGCGCCATACTAATCGGCTTTTCCAACAGTTGCCACCTTTCTTCTTCTTTTCTAGGAAGATGATGGTAAATCATCTCATTCGGACGAGCAAGGAAATAGTAAGCTTCAAGTCTCTGCACGAACTCTTTCTTGTCGTTCAGGTAACCTGCACCCCACGTCGACTCCACCAAGTACCAATGATTGTAGATTTCGACTACATTCCATGCATGGTTAACCTCACTCGGTGCACCTTCCTGATCATCGAATCCATATCCCTTCGAATATCCACTCACCACCTCACATGGCATTTTTAGGTGATCGCACAGATATTTGTACATATTGGCATAGCCTGCGCAGACACCTTTTCTTGTTCTAAAGACTCCTTCGGGCGTTTGATCCTGATAGTTCTTGGTGAAATAGGAGACGGTATCATACTGAATGTTGGATGCAATCCAGTAGAAGATGAACCAGTGCCGATCGATGATAGATTTTCCTTCGGAGAATGTTTTTAGAATATCTATAAGGTGAGAGAGCGAAGTTGGATTCCATCGTTCTATTGCAGATCGATATGAAGTTCTATTCACTGCTTCCTGCCGTTGTTGGATGAAAATTTGATTGAATGCATCTAGATCAGCCGGGACAATGTCAATAAATTTTTCAGCACTTGAGGGAAGCTTCTCCTTGGTATTATCATCTGGTGTATCTTTTGTAGGCTGATGAATTTGAGGTTCTGGCTTGCTATGACTGTGGTCTGATGGAGCCTTATAATCAGGTTCTGGAATTATGTGAGCTGATCGTGGTTCTTTATCGTAAGGTTTAATAATATCAATGGGTTTCTCATCTCGGCAGATTCGACAACCCATAACCGTTTTGTATTATTTATACGAGTGTCTGTTACCTTTTTTTTTTAAATAAAAGAAGTGAAGGACATCGCCGGTAAAGAAAAACATGAATTCATATCTTATTTTTTCAAACTCCAGTTGCTATCATACTCAAGAACGACGGCTTGACGTTCTTATCGTAAACGATATAGATGACTATACAGTAGGAAGTAAACACACCTACAGTGGATACTCATCATAGATATTCTCGAATAAAATCGAGTTCGAATCTAATCTATTCAATTTATTTGTAAAAGTGTTTCACCATTCAAAATCATACAGTCTAGTGTAGGGATCAGAACTCTTAGCAGATGTAATAATTTCATGTTTAATTCCAATGAAGTATAGGATCGAAAGTTGATTACTCATAAACTACTTTTTCGAATGAGGTTTTTACTGGGTTAGTCGGTTGACAGAGTTCAATAGGTTGCCATGACTTTGTAATTGCGTATGACTAGTATAGTCACAGGATTGTTGACGAAATAATGGATCTAATATCTTAAGATCTATATCTATACTTTCTATACAATTGTAAGTTGAAGAAGGAAACGGATAGGTAATGAACGTATCGGATGTATTGTTAGTATCACCTTCGAATACATCATTAGACACTCTATTTCTAGTCAAAGACGGTGCATGCTTATTTGATACATCACGACTTAATCTCTGAGATAGATGATCATCTGCTATTCCAAAGGTATTTCTAGTATCGTTGCGTTGATGTTTGACTGCTTCTTTAATCTGTGTTGAAAAGGATTTGAACGTCTTTACATTATCTTCTAATGTTGATAATGATAAAAATGATACTCTTACGCTATTGAAAGTCAATTTACATCCAGTTGAAAAAAAAGTCGAACTTCTTAACTTTCGTTCGTTTGGCTTGGACTATAGTCATTTATATACATTCGAAGTATTCCCTATAATTATGTGAAACCTAATAGTACGAAGGCATGATGTTTGAATGACAAGAAAGTTGAGCTTTTTTTTGGAATTATTTTCTTCTTCACCGAATTCTTTGATTAACGTCTATCAGTACATCTACATAAGAAAATATGATTGAAGACAATGTCTAAGAATGGCTGATGCTCGTATTGATAGCGAATATAAACGAGATGAAAACATTTCTGAAGAATGGTAGAGAAAAATCTGTCAGATACAGACAGAGAAAGAAGAGAAAACAGAAAAAAGAATATGTAATCAGATAGTGAATATAATGGTTGTTATTCAGTCTTTCATTTCTAAGGAAAATTTTTAGTACTTCAGGTTCTTCACTATTGTTGAGAACATTTCGAGGATAGTGTCAAAAGAAATCAGATGGAGGTAGATAGTAATTTGGTTCAAGATTGTAAACAGGAAGAAGATGTCGAGAGAAAAGGTAGAAAATCCAGCGAACAAGATCGAAATCGAATTTCGAAAGTATCAAGTACAAAGACAAATCTTTTCATTGACCTGTGTCAATCGTCTTCAATCTTTATTTTTCTAGTCATCATCGCCATTATTCCTAGTAAGTCGAATTTCGTGCACTCTCACCCCTCGATTTCTCCTTTATCATTCTCAGTCCTACAGATTTTCATGGGCTGGCGTTATTCTCAAGCTTGTCCAATAAACAAACTGATTCCACACTATTCAATCGTCGCTGGTATTGTCGCTCTTCTTTTGGTTATTCTCATCTCCATTACTCAGCTTATAACACGAGTATTTGGAAAAACAGTGTTTGACGATAATGTTGATCGAAGAAATCCAAATCGTGCGACAATGTTCGTCGGTTGCGGCATATGTAGTATTATGTGCATAAATTTATCGCTTTTTATATTCTTACTCGGTTGGTCTGTCACCGGTTTAGTATGGGTCATTGACGCTTGGTATCGTGTTCAATATATTCATGCTGAAAGAAATGATTACTGTCATCCTATACTTTATCAATTTACATTTGCCATCCTTTTAATCACAACTCTGCTGAAAGTATTATTTTTTTGTATTTTCTGCAAGAACACTTGTGTTAAAATGGCTATGACAAAGAGAAGAGATACGATCACATCAGAAGATGGTTAAAAGGATAACGTCTGTTTTTCGTAACTTTTGTCAATAAATGTTATTAAACAGTATATTCTATAATGCGTTCATAGCTTGTACCTTCGTCATATTTCGCACATATATAAACTTCATTTGAGCCGACTGTAATTTGTTTTTGAAGAACAGGATCAGTATAACCTTCCTTATCCAGCCATTTTGAATCGACTATGATAATAACATCTTTTGCGCCTGGAATAACACAATGAATAGGAACGATGGAATTCTTCTTTAGAATTCCTTCCATTGGTGTATAAATTTGACATTTATTTGTTTCGAACGAAGTGTAAGTCTTAGGGAATTTCATTGATCGTTGAAGTTTAGTCACATTGAGATTGAATTCAATGACTAAACTTAATTTTGATTCACTATCATGAATACGCTTACCATAGACGGCGAGTTTATGTTGACCAGTTCGCTCCGGTGCGAATAACAGCTGCCAATAATTCTTTTCTCGACAGTATTGTGCTAAGGCCCCATTTTCAATTTCAACATTGTTGTATTGTATAGCGCAAGTAAGTTGAACATCGTCAGGAGTTTGAATTAACACCTCGGTATACAATGCACCGTCTGCCCAGACGGCATTGGCACGATTCATTGGAGCCAATACCTTGAGGTCAAGATCATAGAACTGTTTCCATGTTCGTGGATATGACATATTCGGCGAAGGAATTTGTTTTGCGTCGATTTTGAATGAAACCGCAGACCAATAACTTCCAGTGTCATTTTTTTCCTTTGCCATAATGGCTGCTTCGAACAGTCCATTCTGATCCGGCGCGAAATTACATTTCCAAATCTTTTCTTCTCGGCTGAAGTACACTTGCGCTCCACTGTTTAACACTTTACCGGTTTCGTCAGTCAATTTTCCTAATAGTTCGACATTTTCAGGTGCTTTTATCAAAATCTGGGCAAAGGCAACACCGTTCACAAGTTTGATCAAGTGCGTATCCTGAGGTGACATAATTTCCAACCCTAAATCAGTAAATGTTTCCCAGATTTTCGGAAAACTTACGCACTTTGCAGGCATTTGTTTCACATCTAATATTAGATCCATGGCTGAATGATACGATTCATTCTTGTCATCGCCTCTTTTTCCAAGCACCACTATTTTATGTTTACCTACGTTCGCTGGCGCAAAATAGCAGCGATGCATTTGTTTTAGTCTGTCAAAAATGATCTGATAGCCACCTTCAACCTTTTTACCATTCATTTCTAAATGTGCGAGAAGATGTACATCGGCTGGAGTCTTTATAAGAACGACGGCATAAGATCTTTCTGCTAGAAGATCAACATGAGCTAAATTACATGGACTAATCAATTCCATATTAAGCTGGAAATACAACGGGCGCAGTTTTGGCATTGACAAATACTGCGCCATACTAATCGGCTTTTCCAACAGTTGCCACCTTTCTTCTTCTTTTATAGGAAGATGATGGTAAATCATCTCATTCGGACGAGCAAGGAAATAGTAAGCTTCAAGTCTCTGCACGAACTCTTTCTTGTCGTTCAGGTAACCTGTACCCCACGTCGACTCCACCAAGTACCAATGATTGTAGATTTCGACTACATTCCATGCATGGTCAACCTCACTCGGTGCACCTTCCTGATCATCGAATCCATATCCCTTCGAATATCCGCTCACCACCTCACATGGCATTTTTAGGTGATCGCACAGATATTTGTACATATTGGCATAGCCTGCGCAGACACCTCTTCTTGTTCTAAAGACTCCTTCGGGCGTTTGATCCTGATAGTTCTTAGTGAAATAGGAGACGGTATCATACTGAATGTTGGATGCAATCCAGTAGAAGATGAACCAGTGTCGATCGATGATAGATTTTCCTTCGGAGAATGTTTTTAGAATATCTATAAGGTGAGAGAGCGAAGTTGGATTCCATCGTTCTATTGTAGATCGATATGAGCGATCGTTGATGGCCTGAAATCTTTCCTTAATAAATGATTCGTTGAATGCTTGTGGATCGACTAGTTGGAAATTTGAATGCTTTTTGTTATTAAGTAACTTTGTAATAATTGCATTATCTGACTGAGTAACGTCTGGTTCCACGATGATTTTGTTGACTCTCTGCTTTTCGGCTTGACTGTCGTGCTGATTTTCTGCTTGCAATATCACTGGTTCAGGATTTGGAGCTGTTTTTCGTTGACAACAACCCATGTTGGATGTTTACGTGTTGTGAATGATCGTTTTCTAGTGTTGATGTTGCGTCTCTCTCTCTCAGAAAATGATTGTTAAAATAAAGACACTTTATCACCATGTAATGTAAGACGGAATGTGAATGTTGATTTTTTCCTACTTCCGATTACCATGCTTTTTAAGGCAGTAATGCTCTTATTAGCAAATATAATGCGATAACAGGCTATAAAATCTTTTTTCAAAAGTGTACCAAAGGAAGGCAAACAAAGCGGTTGCTACACCGACATATAGGATATCTGGAAATTGGCAGGCGGAACATTGGAAAAATTCAATTTTTCCTTCTTTTTACCGCAACTGAGTCAAATGCGCCAAAAAAAGTTCTTAATAATTGATGATGCACTTGCTATTGCAAAAATGTCAATATAATAGAGCTGTATCTTTGAAGGGAAGTTTTTTTTTTATTCGCGTCAGTAATATTTTATGAGAACGCACCGATATCTAACTATGAAATCTCGAGTATATTTCTAGAAAAATGTCCATACAAGAACAACATTTGAATCGTATGCCATCCTTAACGAATAATTCTTCAGTATAATTTGATTTATGTCATGTGACTTTTATGACGAAAATAACAATAAAATATTTCATGCTCATGATGATCTTAACGACAAACGGTTTCATTTTGTTTTGAGTATCTTACTCTTTTGAATCGATTTCAAAGCCACTGAAAAGATGAAAGCAGATTTCAAATAATATTTTAGTTCCCAAATAAAGAATATCACAATGAACTCGACATTAATAATGAATAAACATCGTTTGAAAACTTTCGAGCACTGTGTGAACATTACATCTACATAATTACATTTGCCAACGACGAAAGATGTGCTAGACTGATATCGCCTATTGAAGAACAAGAACAATGTGTGTGTTGTTCGACTATTGATACGGCAGATGACGCTAATTTCCCAATGCTTCCAAGCGGATTGTTCAGCTCGTTGGGCGAATAATTTTCTCGTAAATAATTCGCATCATCCGCATTCCACCATCCCATATTGTGATGTTTCCTGTTTCTTCTTTTTGAAACAAGAATTCAACGAATGAGAGCTGTAACCTTTTGTTTTTATTTCTTTCAAGATATTCGAATCAAGATTAGTTAAATATATGAGGTGAAACGAAGAAGTTCGTAACAATGTCGACAACTTTCAAAACACAGACTGGCTGACTTGTTTTGTTTTGCTTCTCATCGATGATATCTGGTGTTTTATTTATGTGTTTAACAAATATTATTGGTATTTCATCTTTAAATATGAACAATTCGCCATCTTCGTCGAGTAATAATAATAATAATGAAAACGATAATGCCAAAGGAAATCTTGATAAGATTCTTGATGTAATTTTTGATTATAATGGCAATGGGGATGATGAACTCACATTAAGGTTTGACAAACTAATAATTTGCAAAGAAACTTTGTTTTTTTTCCGCTGATTTTCCTTTAGACGTGGTAATAAGCTGGAAGTTTTATCAACAGATGAATCGATATCGGGTTCACGCGGATGGTGGACAGGACGATTGATTGATACGAATTCCGTCGGTATTTTTCCGGCTAATTTTGTCGCTAATTCTCAGACAAATCTCCGCATAATCAACTTCAACGATTTGCAAATCGGAGAAACAATTGGTGTTGGCGGTTTTGGGTGAGTTCTCCGCTAGTTGCTCATAAAAAGAACTCGATTCAATCTCTGAACATTTAGTCATGTCTTCCATGGTAAATTTGGTGATGTTGACGTTGCAATCAAAACAGCTAAGTCACTTGCTTCATTCTGTTCAATTTCACCCACAACAACACCCGATGGTGCATCTGATGCAGTACAAAACACTCTCATCGACAGTCTCCTACGTGAAGCTCGTCTTTTTTCCAATCTAAAACATCGAAATATAATTCAACTGTTCGGTGTAAGTCCATCTTCAATCACAAAAAATCTTTATCTTGTTATGGAATACGCGCACGGAGGTGCGCTGAGTTATCTATTGCAAAAGCGTCAATGTGGTCTGTATCCAAATGTGTTTATACAATATGCAAAACAAATTGCGGATGGAATGCAATATCTACACGAAGAAGCATGTGAACATATCATTCATCGAGATCTCAAATGTTCGAATAGTGAGGAAATGATGATCAGGAAAAGTAAAGATCTTTGTTTTTGTCTTTGTTTAGTTTTGATTCTGGAAGAAATCCATGATAGTCATGATGATAATGAACTTCTATATAAAACATTGAAAATAACTGATTTTGGTTTGGCAAGAATTCAATTACAATCATCCAATATGTCCGCTGCTGGGACATTCGCCTGGATGAGTCCAGAATGTATTCGTAACAGTGAATTTTCAACTAAATCCGATGTTTGGAGGTGAATTTCTTCGACATGATCACGCATCAGTCTTCTACCTATTCATTTCGTTCTAGTTTTGGTGTTTTACTCTGGGAATGTTTAACAGGCGAATTACCGTACAAAGGTTTCGATCAAATGCAAGTAGCCTTTGGTATTGCCACCAGTAAATATTCTCTTCCAATTCCAAGCACATGTCCTGATGAATTCGCACAACTGATGACAAGTATGTTTGCACGATTCTTTTCCCTTATTCATTTTGTTCTCCTTTAGATTGTTGGAAAGCACTTCCAGACGAGCGACCAACATTTAGCGATCTTCTCGAACAAATCAATCAGATAATCGAAAGAAGTTATATGCAATCAAACGAAGATTCCTATCAGTCATTGCAGAAAGATTGGCGTTTAGAAATTCAAGATATGTTCAATGAATTAAAAGAAAAAGAACAAGTAAGATGATGTCTAATAAGATTACTTTCTCAAGCAGCGTTTTTGTCATTTTTAGGAAATTCGCGATCGCGAACAAGCGATGTATGAACGCTCATTGGAACAGAATCATCAGCGATTGCAATTAGAAAAATGGGAACAACAATTACACGAGCGTGAAATGCATATTGTAGAATTAGAATTGAAGTTATTGATGGCTGCTAATAATCAAGAACGGCTCAATCATCAAACACCTAAAATACAAGAACGTTCAGGAAGATTCATGCGCTCACTTCTCAAGGGACATTCAACTACATCTGCTAATGCTCAAACAGTTATCAGTAGCCCAACAAGTAAGTCAACACTTCGATAGTTTGCTCAATCATCTATTGAAATCAATTCATTCATTGTAGATTTTCGTCATCTGATATCTGTGTGCCATAATCCGCCAGGTCTAGATCACAACTCTTCGCCAACTATTCCTCCATCATCAACATCTTCTTCGTCGCCTATTTCATGTCCAATGCCATCTAATTCATCCATAACTGTCCTTTCGAACAAGTCATTCAACTCACCGTATGATCGTTCATTCTCAAGTAGTAGTACACCATCGACGCCAAATATGAGTCGACTTCGAACGCTAACCTGTACGTATATTTGTACTTTTGGATTTTCACCAGAATAATCACATTATTCGAGAGACAAATGCAATTCTATGTTTCTAATTAGCGCAAATCTGTTATTAGATGATTTTATACATAATTAGTAATTTTTCATCCGTTGACGATGGTAAGAAATCCGAGTGAACAACACCGTAGATATCAACAAAATGCTAACAACTAAAGTTAACTCTTCTCTAGCGTATTCTAACACTGCTTTTTCTGCAAACTATACCATTGATCTATCTATGCATGAAGATTAATTATCGAACGGCAAATCGTCTGAGTGTTTATTTTCCATTCTAGTTCATTTTCCAGTCGATGGATACAATTCATCGACAACTCCAGATAAACCGCCACGTTCAATGAGTCAAACGAAATCATCTAGTCGGAAGTCGAAATTATCCTTATCATCCAGTATTAAGCAAAAACATGGGAAATCAAGTAGTCGACACAAAGAATCAAAATGGTATTTGGATACACGATCGTCAGCATCGTGTAATACAAATAATAATAATAATAACAACAACAATAGCAATGAGAATAATTTTACAATATTAAGTACATTTTCCACACCCAATATCGATCAACCCGGTCGAAAACTAGGTAAAATGAACTTTTCATCGAGAGAATTGAATGTATCTTATCATTGCTTCTCATAGTTTCAGAAATCTTTGATGATTTAAGTAAGAGTCCATCAAAAGATGAATATTCGCAGTTCTATATTTCTTTTGTTCAATTAGCAACCGTCAGTTCTTGTTAAAACTCCTTGTATGCTCTACTGATTCATTTTATTTTCTCTCCAGTAAATACTTATTCTAGTTCACGATTTGCATAGAAATCTAATTCAAACTCTAATCGCTTTGCTCAACAATCATTTGCCATCGATTTCACTTTACACACTTTTCCCTTTCTCACTTAGATTCAACAACATCGTCGCAGTGTTCCACACCAAATGAACATTCAATAGCGCGTGCTATATTTGACATTAATTCCATGTTGATCAGTATCGGTCTTGGTCGTCCTACTCCAGCTCCATCCATTTCGACGCCTCAACATCAACCCGTTCTTCTTCGTCCACGAAAGAAAAGTTCCTGCACACTTAGTCATCAAACTAGTTCATCCTCCGTAACAGACGAGTCGGATTATGTAAATATAAGTTATAGGACTCGCTCTGCATATTCACCTGCTCGTCCGAATTCTCTTACTCTTTCTTCCCAACGCTCTAGTCAAAAGAAAACAAACGACATTGATGATGACAATGAACACTATTATTCTGCTCAGTCGTCAAAGCTATCCACGCCAATGATACATGCAGTCAAAGATGTTGATGACGAAGACAACCTAACTTCCGTAGTCACTATCGATCATGACGAACAAAAAATACCTCAAATAAAATTATTTCAACCACAAAATGAAGAGAATTCTCATCTATTTTAGAGCACATTTCGTCGTTCTCTCTTTTCTTCTGGTTTTAGTCGCTAGAATCTTATAGATATCTTGTATTATCCATTGGACGCTTGTTTCTTCGACTTTTATGTATTTATGTGTGTATGGTGACGAAAACTATTCTTTTATTATGACTTTTTCTCTCTATATATACCGTATTTGTTGTTTGTGAAATAGAACAAAAACTTTATCGAAATGTAATGTAAATAGAGGACAAATCCGATCATTTTCGTTCATCATTTTATGCCAATATTGCGTATCTGATATATATATATGAGTCATCATATGTAACTGAATGATGGTGAATAAAAAGTAGAACAACATGATTTTTCTCGTTCTGTTTTGCCTTTTTTGGCTATAACGCGATGCGAAAAGAACAACAATATCGTCACATGAATACTTCTGTTAGTTAATATTTTTCTTCTTCCAGCGTGTAGTATATATAATCTAGCAAGAAAACACACAAACGCACTGAAAAATTATCCTTCGATGATTCAAGAACAACTTCTTAGTTGTTGTCGAGATCCAGTCGAATCAAATGAAGATGAATTATTTCTATTGAATCATATCTTGGCTGAAGTTGAACATCACCATAAAAGTTATCTCGTCGATGCTGAAGACGCCACTCATCGTGCGCCGTTATTTCACGCTATCGAAAGTGGCAAATCATTGCATTTTCTCAAACGATTACTTGACTTTCAAGTTCGTATCACAAGTCGAATATTAATCTGTGCTATCCGTTACGGAAATCTAGACACGTTAAGACTATTCCATGAATATGGTGCTGATTTTCGTCAATCATATCATGGTTTATCTCTTCTGCATGAATGTATACTCTTACATAAAAATAATCTAATTAGCTTCTTAATCGAACAAGGCGGAGTGAGTTTATCAAAACGCCATTCTTTCCAGAATAAGTCTTGTTTTCTTTCAGATCGATCCGAATAGTGCAGATTATGATCACCAAACGCCATTATTATACGCAATATTTCGAACGAATATCGATGCTATTCGTATTCTACTTCGATATGCAACGATCGATCCATGTTTGATAAGCACACGTAAAAAGCAGTTGACTTGCTTTCATGCGGCATGCGAATTGGGTATTGATGAAGTTCTACCATCGATGATGAATTACATAGCTATAGAGAATATTAACAAGCTTTCTCTTGGGGATCAAACCTCGTTTGACCTGTTCTTATCGTGTTATTTATTCACAAAGAATAATTTGTATATGAATGAGGAATCTTTGCAGAAATTCTCGTCCTTATTCGATCTATTCGTATCTCGTGGTGCAAAATTGCACCATTTAACAAAGGCTTATCGACGGACACGCGCTCCTTATATAACAAAGATTCTGACCATAATTCTGAAAAAGAATCTTTTTCTATCGGATATTATTCTTGCAACAGGCCGTTCGACGATCGTCAATTATTTGCAATCGTTGATTTGTCAATCGTTGGGCGACTGGCCGTATTTGGTTGAATCGAATGATAGTATCACCTGGAAACAACAGCAAATCATTCTTCGACAACTTTATGAATTATTCGTATTTGCGTATTTCAAGTCTTGCAATCGTCAGACGATCAATAAGAAATTATTAACAAGATGCTGCTCGGCGAATGAACATAATTCGAAGATGAAACAGATTTTGTGGATATTTATACAGAATTTTGTAGAACCGAGAAAGTTCGTGGAACCATTGAAATCAATATGTCGAACGCAGATATTGCTGAATATCGATTCGATTGATAAGCATTGTACAAGTGTCAATTTAGAAATTCCGAAAGAAGTGGATAGTTATCTTCTATTTTTTATCCGATAAACCTTGGAATCAATAAGAGAAGCAAAATATTTGATGTAAATCCTTTTTTTTTATTTTGTTTTCAAAAACGAAAAATAAAATCGAAAAACGAAATATTCGAAGTAAAACGTATAAAACTATATATTTATCATCTGGCATATTTGCTCGGAGCTGCTTCTATAAGAATGCAATAAGCAATTTTTCAAATCGATTTCTGTTGAAATGAACTTACGCATTTGCATTTGTTGTCGTTGTTCAGTCATTGATTGTTGACCGAATTGACTTTGTTCATTTGGTTGAAATAAAACTTGTCCACGAAAACTTTGTGGAACATGTCCTGAAAGCAAATCAGGTATGAAATCACGGAATTTACATCAATGTGGAGTACCTTGAAAAAGATCTGCGTTTGTTGGACGTGTTGTCGCTTCGATGGGTCTACCGGTTATTTGTTCTAAGCAGAGGAGTGAATGGTAAATGAGAGAATAGTGATATGTGCACTCACCAGTTTGTGATTGAACGCGTAGATCAGTAGGTTTGAGGACTCTACCGTCTTAAAGTGAACAGAGTTCAGTAATCAATTAAGAAAATTGAAGTGAACTACTTTGCATTTGTTGATTGGACCATGTTTGTCTTTGATCAAAAGTATTCTGAGACATCATACTCTTTTGTTGTTGTTGTTGTTGAGGGAAGGCGAATTGAGCATTTTGCTTTTGAAAAGAATCTTCAGTCGTTAATTGTCGTTGATCTAAAAGAGAAAAAGAATTACTACAGTAATTTTGACACGGAATGTAAATATTTACCTTGAGACGGGACTACTGTGTCTTGTTTTCCTGTGTCTATTGAAAGTTCGGACGAAAATCATAATGAAGACGAGAAAATATGTAAGAGGTACCTTTCCAATGTGTTGGTTTGAAAGCGATTACTTGAGTTGTTTGGCCTCTGGGTGATTGTTCTGCAAGAAACGATTTGATCAGAAATGAAAGATTTAATGTCTTACTTTGGAATCGGTTTTCCCACGATTGTTCTTGTCCGTGAAATTCTTGTTGAGAAGGACTCATTTGTCGTTTTCCTGCAGTTTCAACAAGGATTTGTGGATTTTGAGCTACATTAGGAAATGAATATAGTTTGACCATATATTTATGTATACGAGTGAAGATGTACCTTGGAATTTGGTTTCCCATGGCTTTTGTTGTTCCGAGAAACGTTGTGGGGGAAGAATGATATGTGGTGTTTGTATTGTTGTTGTTGATGATGCTGTCGCGGTAAAAGTTGCTTGTATTGGAGCTGAAATAGAGCAAGATTATGTTTGACTAGTTTGCTTCTCAAAAGTGAAACTGAAAACGTACCTTGAAATTGTTGTTGACCTCCTAAACTCTGTTTTTCTATACAAACGATACAGATTCCGATGAGATTAGTCGAAGAAGAAGAATAGTTTACCTTGCCAAGTTTGACCGGGTGGAACAAAGCGTTGACCGGTTTGTTGAAATCCTATTGGGACAGAGAAAATGCAATGTATTTTTCTTGAAGTATTCCTACCTGTTTCAAGGCGATTGCTTCCATCAAATGTCATTGTTTCTGGGCGATTCGTTTCGGTTTGTTCGTCTCTTTGAAATGATTGCGTATCTAATACACATGAAGAATGAATACGAAAAGCTAACGATATTGAAAAGTATTCATACTTTGCCATTTCTGAGGCCGTGTACTAAACGTATGTGTTTGTTGCTGCCAAGATTGTTCATCTCTCTGAAGATCCTTATCTTTAAGGACTACAGAGAAGTATTCGATTACAGATTGAAGAAGTGAAAAGACTATCACGAACCTTGCACGCGAATTGTGTTTTGTGCTGGTGAACTTATCTCAATATCTGCTTGTCCTAAAGAAAGCGATTGAATCAAATGGAGAATAAACAGAGCTGATAATGCTACCTTGTGCTTGTGGTCGGGTTTGGAAGGCTAAATGATTCATGTGAACGCGATACTTAACAGTAGAGGAAAAACGAGGGTACTCACTCTGTGATGATTGTGCGAATTGAGATCCTGTCATCGGAGCGGTATCTTGTCTCATTTGCCAGGTTTGTTGTTCACGAGGATTTTGTTGTTGAAATCCTAAACGTCGGATGAAACAAATGCAAAATAAGCGTATTCAATTGTGAACAAACCTTGCAATTGCACGGTATTTTGAGGAAACTTGGCAACATTCATATTCCATTCTTGACTGTCATCTAATAACATTCATAGTCATAGATTACAAAGTTTTGACTTCAGCAAAAAAAATGAGAAACATACCTTGAACTTGTTCGTTGCGTTGAACTATTTTTAATCGCAGAAATTAAATTAAATTTACAGCAAAATAAACACAAAAAGATGCACTCACCATTTTGACCTTGTGGCTGAGAAGTGACACGTTGAAAGCTTTGTACATTATTTTCTGGTAATTTATCTAATATTGAATAGTTATTTAGCACTCTAGCTTAGTTTACATTTGAACTTACTTAACCATTGTTGTGTACCAAAAGATTGTTGGTTTTGTTGAAATTCTAAAAGAGAAACGGTGCACTCAACAACATATAAACGCAGAAATGACGTACTTTGTGGTGGTTGTTGTTGTTGTCGTTGACCGTCTTGTTCAACTCGGAATCTATTCGAATCGACGCCAGTAGATGAATCGTCTAACACACCAGATACACGTTGTTTTTGACCTATAGAAAAAGAAGAAAACACATTGATTCGTTAATTGATATTATTGTGCAATTGATATCTAAACTTGCCTTGTAACTGTCTCAATTCTTGATCTTTTTGTGAAACTAAAATATTCAACAATCCTAGGTATTTCCGATTGTCCGATAAATAGAGTCTTACTTTGCCATTGGTTGGATCCGGTGAATACGTTTTCGCGAACTTGGCTAGGATTTATCATTTGTGATACTTGATCTATACGAATGTAAATCGACGTAGAGAAGTGCTGAGTGTAGATAAAATTTCGGTTATTTACTTCGAAGCTCTTGAGTCTTTTGTTCGAGTTCAGGTAAATTTTGAATTGAAACTCCTTGAAAAATTGAAAAGAATGAATAATACCGACTAGAAGAATTCATACCGTTGTGACTATCCACGGTTACTAATAATTGTTTTCGATTGGCAGCTCGAGCTGGAATGAAGCCAAAAAGATCTGGGCTGTTTACTTTAACAGTTTGAACCGAGGACCTGAAATTATGAAAACAATTGAAGTCTTTTATTTCGTAAACAATTTTTCTATCTACATGTCCCGTTGGGGTTGAGGTGTGGCCGACACTTGAATCGATTGTTGTGTGTCTGTGTTGTCAAAGACTTGTTCTTGATTGCCCTTGATAACGACATCAGTTGGTGGTACTGTTATAAAGGCTGGCATATCAATTTTAGCTGGTCGTTTACGATCGCATATTTTCTCTTCTTGATTCCAGTAAAGTAATGGACCACACGGTTGAAAATAGATCAATTCGCCGTCACATTGAATGTATGCACGTTGACTGAATGCAAATGGGTAGAATTGTTCAGTTGTTGTCAAACATGGATTTGGCACAGCTATACAATGATACACAATTATCAATACACAAAATGAAAGAATTTTCTTCTTCAACAACCAACCTTCGCGACAGGTAAGACCATAACCTTTCAATGTATGGCAAACGCAAACGTAATCTTGTTCGTAATCCTTTGTTGTCAATGGTCGACATTCAGCATTTGGGCCACATGGTTTTTTGACACACGAGTTCACTGGTGTTTCACATCGTTCACCTGTCCAGTCTGACCGGCAGGTACATTTGAATGTAGAATTCGATACAACGGAGCAAACACCCTCATTTAAGCATGGTTTTTCTATGTCGCATCTGTTTAATGATGGCGTTTCGGCGAGAAGGTCACATTCGTTGCTTTTGCCGTTAAATTCAACACCATCTGGACATGTTAAGATTTCGTAATGAAATTCATCACGACAGAATATATATTTTGTTTTCTCTTTTGGAAAAGCACGTTTCGATGATGGACGAGCGCCAATACATGGAGACGGTACTGAAAAATATGAAAAGTAGTTTAGTAGAATGATAAAATAGAATTCGATACTAACATGGTTGAACGTCTGGTACAACAACAGTCTTTTTATCTGATTTTTCAATTTCACTAAAAGAAAAACAAGAGAACTTCATTTCGAAAAACACTTGTCCGAAACATTTCTGCGACATACGTGTGCTCTGGTGATATTAATTCTTCGGTTTTTCCGTCTGCTAAAATTCGGAGTTGACCGAATGGATAACCTTTTTCTAAATCATTATCATTAGCATCCTCTAAAAGGAAAGGGTCAACAATAAGTTCCTTTCAAAAAGAAAAAGAAGGAAAGTTATTAACAACCTTTACTATCATCACTGGTTTGTCCAAGAACACCAATGGCAAAAAATAAGACTAAGACGAAACTTAGCGAGTGCTATAAACATTGGACAATATCAAATAAGTACGTGTAAAAGAAATATTCTATTCAACGAACCATCGATTAAATTGCGCAAACAATCGTTAGAGAAGATCAAAACAAAATAGTCTTCGAATAGTCGATAAAGTGAACACGAAACTGTTCGGATCATTCTTCTTATAGTTCTAGCGAACAGAGACTACAGACGAATATAAAGAACTACCTCGATCGGTTATTGTTCAGAAATCGTTTCATCTATTCGTTTCGTTGTCGTTTCACACGAACAAATAACGAAATGGAATATCGGTTTCTAAATATCATCATCATCGATATGTATCCGAACCGAACTGAAAGAACGATAAATGAATGAATGTTATGTATTGACTATGATTAGGCTTCTTTTTTTTCCTTCTAGTCAGAAGTTTCACCATGATTCATCGTATGTGATCGATTTAGCTTGATATTTGACATCCTAAACTACTATGTCATGCAAGCATAGAAATACATCATTAATAACTATTCTCCTCTTCTTCATTCTAAACATGATTTTAAAGACCTTGTCCCTGTATATCGCTCGATTTTCATTTCGAATATTTACTCATTCAACCGGAACACTAACTCTTCCTTTTTCTCCTTTTCTGTTCAACCGTATTCGTCTATCTGTAATAAACATTGACTAACCAATATTAAGTACCCCAAACTCCAATGATCTATACAATTGAAAATGTTTACATCCAACCTGTAAATCATAACATATTATTCAACACACTAACGCCACAACCATCTGTGATTTATTTATCGACACCTGTTACATCCTATACGTATTCACCACCGATCCAAACGCAGTACATCTATCCGATTCATGCAGTAAGTCAACCAACGCCTGAAGTGAAGAAAGTTTCTCAAGAGAGTGTGCAAAAAGAACGAGCTAAAACTCCGGTTAAACGGCCTCCAACACCGTTGCCAGCTGACGAACAATTAAATTTAAATCTTTCACGTTATGGTTATCGGCGACAATTAGTCAATGGGGATGGAAATTGTTTTTTTACTGCTATTGCTAGTCAATTAATAACATTCTACAATCAAGATCGGTACTTTCGTACGGCTATTAAACAACGTTTAAATCTTCCGGAGAATTTGTTCACAAATACGACACAATTAGCTCGAACATTACGAAAATTAGCTTGTTTAGAATGGAAAATAAATGACACCAAATATAAACCATATGTAAATGATGTGAATTATTACGATGAAATACGAAAGTTTCGTTCGGATAAGTTTTATTCATCGATTTTAGGTGATATTTTGCCATTGACAATGAGTAATTTGCTTGGAATTCCCATTAAAATCATTACTAATCTTAGTCAATGTCCATTGATTGATGNTTTGCTTGGAATTCCCATTAAAATCATTACTAATCTTAGTCAATGTCCATTGATTGATGTTTGTCCACAAGATGAACCGTTATTACCCATGAAATCGATACCGATATTGACATTAGCGTATAATCAAGAAAATGATGGACACTACGATATTGCGATAGGCAAAAGAGACAAAGAATTTTGATTGAACACAAATTTTCGTGATTAATTTCAATATATGTGAGATATGAATAAATCGATTAGCATTGAACTTAACTATGACATGTACACTCTGTGAACAGTTCACATCACTGCGTCGAACGAGAATCGGACAACAATATATCAAATTGGTCTAATGAGCAATCGCAACTTGTACATAGAAGCGTCAAAATGCTTCATATGTTTTTATTCCTACTGATAACGACATATAGAAGGTCTACGAAATCATTATTCTGTGTGTTCTTCGTACGAATCAGTCATGCTTTCTTTTCTGGCCTTTTTCCCTCACAACTCACACATCCTTTCCCTTTGCCATAGTACTTTTCATCGCCATAAATCACAACGGGTTTATCGAGCAAACAAATAAGTATAATTATACGATGAAAAACACATTTCTTGCGCAAGGTATGACGTCAATAAAGAAAGATGGAATCATACCAGCTATGACGTACAAAGTGCAAGGATTAGTAATGCGATGAGTTGTCAGAAGAGTAGACTGTGACGTTCTTTTTGCGGTGGGAAAAAGTATGACGGATGAGTTTATTCGAACAACTGAAATAATTGAAAATAGAGCAGACGGATTACTTCGATTCCGAAAAAATCCTCTTTCACGATTCTTGAGCTTAACGATGACACGTCTGAAATTGTAATCAGAGATCTTCTATTTATAGATTATCATTTGATTATCGAGCGTTGTTTTCGCGTTGATTAAAATTTCTACGTGTATGCTAATCGAAAGTTTAGTTTCGATAAACACACATATAGGTCAACGTTCGATTTCAATGAAAGATCACCATGATTGAAATATTTGCCAGAATCACATGTACGAGAAAGAGAAAAAGAGAAAGAATGAAAGTTTGTATATATATACGAGGTCATGTAACCGGTGAATTGTTTTTAGAATCAAACGATGGGCGCTGAATACAGCAATCAAAGAAAAACTGCTGTCGGCCGACATCTGATCTATGAAGCTTACGGTAGACAAGCAAAGGGTCGATCTAGTGAACGTTGTTGGAAATGTGGCGGTCATGGAAGACTTTATGTGCAGTCTGAATGTAGTGCGTGCCGTTGTGGAGAACGAACAACCTGGTCGAATTATTCACCAAACTGTTCATGTAATGGCTATGGCCGACAAACATCAACGGAAATCTGTGATGATTGTCACGGTCGTGGCTATCAATAAGTAGAGTATAAAAAGAGAAAGAACAGTAACATTTCATACATTTGTCTTCGGTCATCTTTATTTTATTATCTAACTTAAGAGTAAAAGAAGAGAAAATAAAAATTCGAATAAATACAATTATTTGGCTTTCGATTCAGCTTTCGAGTCTTTGAGAATGGGTGGTGGCGGTGGAATGATTTCAGCTGTTGGTGGAACTGAACCTTTTTCGGCTCTTGCCAAACTAGGAGATATTGATGTTCGGATAAGACGCTGTTTTGTGTGTGGTAATGCTGTTTGCTCTTTGTCTTTTTTTATGACACTTGGAGATTTCAATGCTCTTGACACTTGCTGTTTTGTTTGTGCAGCAGGCAAGGGTGGAGGAGGAGGAGGAGGAAGAGGTGGCGCGGGAGGAGGAACAGAAGTTGGCACAGTTGGTGCTATTGAATCTTTTTCATTGGCCACCAAGATCGGTGATTGTAATGATTTTTCTGATTGATGTTTCGACTGTAATGATGCTGCTGGTTCTTTAGATCGTTGTCGTTGATGATACAGGCAATGATGATGATGATGGTGGTGGCTTGATCTGCGTCTTTCATCAGATCGACGCCGATGGCTTCGATGGCGATGGCGATGAGAACCTTCATGCGGCGTTGGTGATTTTGTTCGACGGCGATGCGAATGTGGTGATCTATGACGATGCGTTTTATTCGCATCAACTTGTTTTGATTTGAGAAAATTAGCTATGCCAGGATGCTTTTCCAGTTGTCGACGTGCTTCTTTCAGACGTGTGTAATTTTCTAATAATTTCGTGTTAGCTTTAATCAAAGAGTTTGTTGTATTATAAACAATTAAATCAGCCAGTGATATGTGTGTGCCTAGATAGAATGGCCCACGACGATCAAATATCGTATAAAGTTCTTCGAATTGTTTCAAATAATTCAGTGCAAAATCAGTTATCAATTCTTGTACTGATTGATCTTGTGCAAGAGTGGACGAATCAGTTTGTTCAAAGATCTTGCTTTGTAATTGTCGAGCGATTTCTGTGATAATATCAACAATAGCGTGTTCATGTTTACCTGTTCCATATAAATGGAATTCTCGTGCTAAATAACGTATAATCGCATGCAAGTGAAAGATTCGAAACTGATTATTTACACGTAAGATGGGCAGTTCTTGAAAGGATATCTGTTCTTTTATTTCCATCCATTCATCTTCTCTCAAACGCTTGTCTTTATAAGGGACACCAACAAACGCGAATATTAATCGAATGATATCACTTTGCACGTTCGTACTTAAGTCATACAGTTTAAATGAATTGTTTGTTTCATTATTCTGTTGACTAACTGGTCGTTGGTGATTGGCAAATGACTGTTGCTGCTGCTGCTGCTGCTGTTGTTGTTGTTGTTGTTGTTGTTGTTGTTGAGGCGGCGGTAATGCGGGTTGTGGTTCCGAGTTTTGTATTGGGTGTGGGAAGCGTGCATTGTAAAACTGTGGAAGAGGTGGCGAAGTAATGCCATAATTGTTCGGTATTCCAGGATAAGACGGAGGCCCGTATGTTCTTGGATAGAAGTTTACAGCATTGTTCATGATCATCTTTCCAAACGTGAGTGTGCCTACAAGTAACACAGAAGCGTTGTAAATGCGTTCGGCTAGATCGATGATGTAAGAGTTTGCAAATGAAACGAATATATCAGAGCATCAATCAGTGAACCATCCCCATTTTTTTTCTATATGTGCTACACATTTGATAGGGACAATCATTAATAGATAGGTGATGATGAAGATGAATGACACGTACATATGTAGTATCTATGTACGAAATTTTCAATGATATCTGATTGATCACAACGAGAAAGTGAAAAAAGACTATATCAATGATCATAATGCATATCTTTTATATTGATCAGTTCGCATTTATAGATCTATCATCAACCTGTGACTTTCGGAGGTGAACATCATTAACAAGACAGTTCGAATTCATGCAGGTAATATTTACTTGTGATCCTTTCACAAAAAAAAATAAGAGTTTGGCTTTATTATATCGCCAATCTTGTTTCCAAGATTTACAAAAAAAATTGATAGAAAAATACAGACCTGCGCGGTATCATATAAAAAAGTTGGACTCGATTCAATGAATTCGAGAAAGTTCTTCAACAGATACGTTTGATTGATTGTCATTCTAGAGAGGAAGGCAAATTAACAATGACCCCTCAACCGAAATGATAGAGATATATACAGGTTGATATTTTAACAGTTCAGTTTGAATTGCCTTCAGTAAGTCAGATACAATTGAATTAGATCGCCATCAATGAAACCTGACGAAATAGTTGATTGTTTATCAGCTCTGATTGAACGCCATGTACTATGTTCAATTTGACCTACATTTGGTATGTGTTGAGCAAGGCTCTTTTCTAATGATGCAAGAAGTCGATATAATGAGGGTGGTAATTGTACGACGAGACCAATGTAACCGGATGTCACAGCCATCAGCGAACATGTTGCAAGGAAAATTGTTGATTGTGATGTCTGTTGTGTCACGAAATGACCTAAATAAATCAAGAGTGATCATTAGCCAATGATCTCTTGCATAATATGAAAAAATCTCTTGAATTAGTTAAACCTACCATGTCGAAATATATTGATTTGTTCTGCTAGATGATACTGTTCAAGTCGAGTCAGTAGCTTTCTATCTAATTCCTTTGTGGATTCATGGTCTTTGTGATAGCATAATAGATTTCCATGAGTTTCTGTACAAACAAATGTGTCATCATCGATAAACTGGCACCCAGTGATTGGTTGCGGTGAAACATCAGTGGTAATCTAAATATGTAACAATAGAACGGGAAAATATACGAATTGTTTTACTTCTTCAAATGTATGTCCCGAAGGATTGTATCGAAGAACGGTTATTGAGTATATCTCATCGCTGAATAGAATAAAATCATTTTTGACGTTTACTTCTGAACATTTGAAATGACCGACGTAAGGTTTGGATAATTGAATCAGTTCAGATTGTTGTGGAGAATATTCAAATAGTTGAATCTACGTATTTGATATGGAGATAATATCTTTTACCAGAAAGACAAAATTTCTTACAGAATTGACGATAGTAACGAGTAATCTGCTTTGAAATGATAAGATTTAATGTAGAGCATCGTTCAATTCCTTTTCAGTCAATATTGTTAATTGATTACTTCTACAACTGAACAGAATCAATCGACCAATTGGTTGTCTATCGTTATCATATTCGAATACGATTGTTGTACCAACTGCGATGTAGTGGCTCGTCGAATTATCAACGAAATTCATTGTGCATATACAAATTGCTTCTTCACCGCATAAAAGCTTTACAGAAATACGAGCTACAAGTAAACATCACTGAGTAGAATACATCTCGTTACGAAAAGCTAGAAAATAACAAAAGTGAATGAGAAAGAAAGTACCTTCGTGTTTATGTTGATCTAAAATAAACGATTGAACTTGAATTATCACTCTCATTTTGTTCCGCTGTCAAATCTTCGATTGCTTTTATTTTAGTTGTACAATCTATTTTCTGATGAGCTTGTTTACTAACGAGTAAAGCACCATCTGCTTGATATTCATGTCTTGATTGAGTTAAAACTGCATAGATTTTTTCTTTATCTACGAGCGTGATGCGTCGGACGGACTCGCCTAATGTCAGTGTACGTTTAAGTAACTTTTGTATACTATCGATACGACCAAGAATAATACCGGTATCAGTGACTAAGATTAAACTTGCACCGTAGTATTCCAAATTAAACGAGCACATACAAACAATTTCACGTAGATTAACAAATGAGAAAGTAAGCTTGTCGTTTACTGTCGAGATCACTGACAGATGATCACTGCAAGCAAATAATACAGCGTCAGATGACTGATTTGATGTCAGAGATAAAGCCGATTGCTGACAAATAGTTAGTGTTGTTGGCTTTGTGCCGAGAGAAACTATTTTACGATCGTATAATAAAACTTGTTCACGGCCTAGGGAATAGTATATAATCAAACACCGTCAGCTAAGGAAATGAACACGTAAGATTGGGAGTTAAACGTTGTCATGACGATAGATCGCGGTAATGTGTCTAACAAAATATTTGAATTGTAGTTCGAACGCAAGAATGATTCTCTATGAAGGACATCTAGTGTCGGTAATCGATATATCTAAATAGATATTTGAATCCAAAGACCAACTGCACAGAGGTCAGTTCGTTCCTCCTGAACACTCGATGGTGCCACATCCAAACAAGCAACATTATACGACAACTAACATTGACTGTAAGAAACAATTGATCATAACCTTTAATTTTTATTAAAATATTCCGCTATTACCCAATTTGCTTCAAACTGTTCGGTCCAATTTCAAAATAAAACAATTGATTTCCACAAGCGCATACACATTGTATTATTTTTGCTGATGCAACTGTTATTTCATTACTTTCGCTTTTTCATTCTGTTAACAGATCTTGCCCGTGATTGGCAATCAAACGAATCGAATGAGTTGTTATCTTTGAAACCAAGGAAGAGCAGCACACTTTGTTATTTGAAGTTATGGATCTTACTTGTAAATACGGATTCGACGCTCCATTTATGCGAAATAATGTTTGGTGTTCGAGATCAAATGCAGTTAATTCTACTTCTTCGATTTCCTCATTTTGTAAATAAAACAATCTATATTCGAGAAGCTGGTAACATGCAATCAAAGCCTTATTCACCCTCACCCATGATATTTTGTTACTATCTCGAATGATTCGTAATCGGTCTTTTCACCGTCTAGTATCATTTCATGACATTTCTTTGTGAGAATAAACAGCACATCTTTGTTCATATTCTGTTCAAACGAGATGATTATTTGACAATAAACCATAAAGAATTTCTTACGGATAATCGCAAACATTTCAGAATGATAATTTTTCCCTAGATAGTCACATCTTTGACTAATTTCAAATCTTCAGAGTCAACGATGTAGATTTCAAAATGCGTATTTTTAGCAATGATTAAGTTCAATTGTGTGGGGATGTAAAATAACCTGTCGCAAGTGCTGCTACTTCAGTCGGTTTTTGTACTGTCACGACATAATTCGATGAAGTCATCTTTGAAATCAAGGGACACTGTAACCTCTCAATTCTTTCCAAGAAACAAGGCAGACAGATGGATGCATGACATTCTCTTCTGATTGGTATTTTTACGTCAACCAATAATGAGTAGTGGTGAGATGCCACTAATGTCAGTCATGTTGCTTGGGAACGCATAAAAAGGCATCAGTTGCAATGGCCTATAATACAATTTACTTTTTCTTTCGATCAATATTTGAAGAGAAATAACATGGCATCAAGCACGATACCAACGCACTATCCTCAGTTGGTCGATCCAACACGAACACCACTTGCATTTCTGAATCGAGCTGTTCCACGTTTGGTAAATGATGAAGAGATCCTTGATATTGTAGTTCAGTTCTGTTGTCAAGTGTTTTCAATTCGTTGATGAGAGCTGTTTACTTTTGAAAAGCATCTTAGAGCCTTGTTTTATAGAATCGAGAACTCAAAAGCGAAGATCTCCTATTACGCCAACGTGCAGTGCGATCATTGTGCGACTATCTTCATGATCCCGAACACATATTACCATGCATCGAAGAAGGTTACATCGATATTTATACTAATTTATTTACTTTAATCTGATTATTTGTATAGACATTCCAGCAACTCTACTTGCTCTACTAAAAGACAATGATCAATTTTGTCGGTTAAAATCCGCTGAATGCTACTATGTCATTGCAAGTAATTATGTGTGAACTATAGAAAATGATCTTTTTCGATGCGAATGTATTCTTAGGTCATGCTATCGGTCGTCAAGCGATGCTCTCTTGCAATGTAATTCCACGTCTAGCTGCTCTATTCAACGACAAAGAAGCTTCAGTAAGAAGAAACGCCCACAAAGCTGTCTCCATGTATAGCGAAGCACCACCCGGTACGAGAAGCCATAAAATTTTTATAGAAATTGCTGGAAGAAAAGGTTTTATTGATAATTCCAGGCGCGCAAAATTTAGTCGAACTTCGACTCATTGATACACTTCTGAAGAAATTAGTTATTGAACTTGATGAAATCAAAGTATGCATCTCATTTTTATTGACAACATTTCGAGTTTGAGTTTTTTATATCTTCCTAGGAATTAATTTTAAATACAATTCATTTTTGTCTAATGTATGACGTCGAACAAGCGTTAGCATCGGACGCGATGACGACATTAACGTCATTACTTCAACATTCATCCGATAAGATCAAAACGCTCGCTGCCCTTACAATATTTCATTTAAGGTTTGCTGAAGCATTCGATTGAAATCTCAGTTAAATTGAATATTAATTGATTTAAGTGTTTCGCTGAAAGGCAAAGAACGCGCAGTTGAAATTGGAACAGTCGATCGTTTAGTTGCATTACTCGATTCGAACGACGACTCATTAAAAAGTAAAACCGCACTGGCTCTTTCCGTGTATGTTATTCTAATTGATATTCTTGGAAATGTTATCAAATGATCTGTATCCCCATCCTAGAATTTGTATCATAACACCAGGAAAATACTGTACAATAAAAGCTGGTGCAATACCAAAACTCTTAGCATTACTCAAGACAGATTCAACAGAACTAATTGTTAATGCACTTAAAGTATGATTCAGTATTTTTAATATTACAATCTCATTGAGATAGTTCATCTAGGCTATAACATGCGTTGCCGAAGCACCAGAGGGAAGAAAACAATTCCTTGAATCCGTTGATCTGGTAAGAAGCGAATTGCTTGCCGATTTGTTTCTCAGTATGACTGTTAAAATATTTAGATTGATCAATATGTTGAACATCGGCTACCGAACATCGCAAAGCATGCCCAAATCGCGGCGAAAGTTATCAAGTGGAAACCATGAACGAAATACGAACTACTTTACTAATTGATTCATTTGATTATTTTTTGCTCTTTTTTTTTAAATAAACACTGAATAACATGAAACACATATCTCTTTCATGAATAGCTCCTAAAAAAGACTAGTTGTTATTGCTATCTAAATGAATCTATTAAACACTTCAGACAAAATGAAGTTATTCGTGTTATCATCATCTTATTTCTTCACACCTAGGACCTAAAATTCGCCCATCATCAACAACGATTGTCTCCAATAAGCAAGAAAATCTGCATACACTTCGTGATTATCAAAGATTCCTTCTAGGCAATATGAACAAATGAATCGAATGAGAAAACAACTTCTTTCTCTCTCCGTGTTCGAAATGTCTGTTTATATCGAACTTCATCTAGCGGCTGGAAAGATTTGTTTGATGCAGTGCTTCGCTTTGCTTCTTGCCCTCTTTTTTAACAAGTAATGATCCGTTCCCATCCGATACACTTTCTACGGTATCAGATTGTATAAAATAAAATAAAACAAGAGTAAAATCACAAAAATGACTTACGAGACACGTTCGTTGATTGAGAAATGTCTTCTCAAGATGGCACGTGAACTTTCTTTGATCTCTGATTTTCACAGAGAATAAAATAAAATAAAAAACGAGAGAAGGAAAGGTAATCAGTCATCGATTCTAATCGCTGCTCTTGACCACTAACAAACAAAAATGTCTTCATTGATTCACATCTTATCATAAAAGCGTCATTTAAAGCAATGTCTATACACTTGACTATTCACATATTTATCGTCGAAGATTTTAGTGGCAAAAAACAATTAAAAATATAAATACGGATTTCACAGTTGATAGCATTCGTGTAATAAAATATGTTTTCTCTATTGCATTTCACGTTATCCTCGAGTTTAATCAAGCGTTAATGACGTAAAAAAAACGATGAAATGCTTAAGCTAGCAAAGATCGTTATCTTCATGAGTAATGATAGAGAAATAAGAAAAGACTATCTATGTGTCAATGACACAACAAGTACGGCAAAGGTAGAGGAAGACAGGAAACGTATAGAAACCAGTTGGCTTTATTCATCAAATGGAATAAGGATGAAGGAGAGAAAATCAGTATTTGCTCACACTTTTTGAGGATGCAGTGTATACAGTTATTGATTGCTTTTTCTTCGTTTCGTACTTTCACCTGTATATACAGCGTCGTCAACCATTGATCATTACTTTTTTCTTTTCTCTTTTTCTGCAGGCTTTTTTATTCGTCCAATTGCTCTCGTCGCCGTTGACTTTTTTCTCATTGGCTTGAAATGTTACATTTCGATAACGCAAAAACGAATACATATATACAGGCTATAGAAGAGAGGGGAGAGAAAAAAGAGAAAAAAAAGCGCGACAAACAACCGAGGTGAAGCGTGAAGCTCTTGCACACTTGACAAAGCGAGTATATCGACAGATTTATACGTACATAACCAGACAAACACGTACACATATGCGTATGGGTTTCCGACCTCTTGTTAATTTATCTGGACCACTCAGTGGTAACATGAATTCTATATTCTCGACAACAGCACGGTCATTTGTTAATCCATTTCTGAATCAATCGTCGTTTCCAGTCGATAATAATCATCTACAACAACATAAGGATGATGATCAAGTTGACGATGATAGCAACGATGCTGATCTCAAAGTTGAATTAGAAAACAAACAACTCTGGGATGCCTTCCATACACACGGAACAGAAATGGTAAAAACGAACGTTTTATTTTCAGATTAGCTCTTTATCATTTATTTATTATAGGTGATCACTAAAAGCGGCCGGTAAATATACGCCTTTTTCTCTTTAGGAGGCTTGTAAAGAAGTTCGCGTTCTTTTTCATCTAGACGAATCTTTCCTGCTTTTAAAGTGAAAGTAACTGGTTTGAATCCGCAAGCGAAATATGTCTTTTTGATGGATATTCAAGCGGCTGATGCTCATCGATACAAGTTTCATAACTCAAAATGGATGGTTGCCGGCAATGCCGATCCCGAAATGTCGAAACGTCTCTACGTTCATCCAGATTCACCAGCCACAGGTTAGTACGAACAATGCTCTCATTGATATTGTAATACACAAGTTGTTTAGGTGAACAATGGATGTCAAAATCGGTTTCGTTTCATAAATTGAAATTGACAAACAATCTTTCTGATAAAAATTCTTATGTAAGTTCAAGTTCTTCGATGTAGAAAGCCGAGAGAAAGACAATCTGTTCATTAATCATCATATTCGATATGCGTTTTTCTCCGTCCATTATCATTTACTCGAAAGTAATAAACAAGTTAATGTTTTGTTTCGATCAGTTTAGTCGATATCGTCGCCGTATGTTTGTCTATCTTGACAATCGATCGTTACTATGTTTCACCTTAAAGATTCTCTTTATGAATCTAATGAGCCATAGACAATATGAATGTATAAGAACATACCGAACTGTGTTCTTCCAACTTAGTAAGAATAAGAACGGAAAAAAAACGAAACCTCCCCACTCATCTAACATCAATTTGAGAAATTGATTTGTTTGCTTGTCATAAAATGTGTTGATAAAGGAGATTTCTTATTTGACGTTTTCATTTTCTCTCCACTAATAACACTCTATTAACAACACCCATCCAGGTGCAAGTCAAGTTTGCCATTTTATGACGCCAGTGGCAGACAATAAAGAAAAAGAAAGATGATTCATTTTCTCTCTTTAGACAATACTCAATTCGATGCATCGTTATCAACCACGATTGCACATCGTGAAAACAAATGACTTGATTAAAATACCATGGTCACCAATTAAGACTTTCATATTCAAAGAAACACAATTCATTGCTGTTACTGCATATCAGAATGAAAAGGTAAGACATATCTTTCGCTTTTTTTTCTCCTTTGCTTTGATTTAATGTAATGATATGCTTGGTAGATTACCCAATTGAAAATAGACAATAATCCTTTTGCGAAAGGTTTTCGAGACAATGGAGCAGCAAGCAAGCGTGATAAAAGGTACGTATGCAACATATGCGCGTATTGCTTATTCTTTTTCGGTTCTTTTTCTCATTGAATAATACGTATACGAAAGCGATCGATTAGGTAGATCAACTTCGATTAGTATCCGTGTAAAAGCGATACATCACAGGTGTGCTTATGCAATCGCGTATATATATGCAAATAGATATAGATGCATATAGATGTATCGAAGAAATAGAATGAATGAGTACTGATAGCCTCTCTCTCTCTCTTAATTTATATTATCTTTTTAAAAGAGAAAAAAAATAAAGCGAAATATTGAAGTGGAGTTCATCATTCTGTCGTTTCTCTTTTGATCATCTATCACTTTTGCTTTTCTCGAGGCATTCACTCTCTCATCTCACTTACATTACTCTATCGAAGATACACAACATCTATCTCGATCAATAAAGTAGCTTCCTTCATTTGTCGTTTATCATCATTTGATATACGTTATACATAAATGAAAGGAAAGATGTGTATTTTGTTGTGATTTGAACGTGTGCGTGCGAATGTCTGATGTGTCACGTTCAATTTGCGATCTCACTCTCTGTCTGACTCTCTGATCGATCCGTCGTCCATTTATATCAATACATTTGTCTAGTGACAAAAACCTGACTGTGATCACTTATATATTCAATGTGTGATAATGGATGCAAATGGATAGAGAGAAATAAGGGACAATACACCTCTTTTCATGCATACCCCTTGATAGATATATACTTTTCTTGTGCTTAAAATGATAAAACCAGATGGCTTTAAATGAACATGAAAAGAAAAACGAAGATCTCGTGTTTGTTTGATTCAACAAGACAGCTTTACTTAGAAATTCATTGGGTTCCGATTTCGAAATATTCTACCAATCAGATGTCTCGTTCTCGACGAGCATAGCATAAATATTTATCTTAATGTTCAATCGCTAGAATCAATTGACTTGCTAGTTATACTTGAATCTTGTCAAACATTAACTTTTTTTTCTAGAAGACTCAATTTCGATCTCTCATCGAATGCAACATCATCATCATCATCAACAGCAACTATCAATAACACAGCAACGGCGAACACTAGACTGCTATTCGATAAGCCACCAATATCTCTCTTGCATAATTTTCATTCACTTGAGAATACATCCGAGAAAAATGATGAATTTATTGATATTGAATCACATAATCAATACGAGAATGATTCTCTGCCGATCAAAAGCACACCGAGTTTATGTTCGCCAACATCCACTAGCACATGTTCTCCAACCCTCGCTCATAATCGATCGATTCCGATCATTTCACCAACTTATTCATACGATCATCGATCATTGAAGAGATCTCGTTCACCTTCAACGACTGACGAAGAAGCGACGAAGCGAGTTTGTGCAAATACCAATCCTCGTCCAGTGGTGAAAAACGATCTGCGCAACATCGAATCATTGATCGAGCGAGTACCGGAAAAACCAATTCCGACTCCGCCAGCAATCTTCGATCCGAACTATCTCTATCTGTTCTACATGGCACAATTTCAGAATCATCAAAAGCCGCCCTTGCTACATCCGCACGCATTGCAACGATACTTCTTATATAACCAACAGCACCAATTTCAAAACTATTATCAATATTCGTCGATACCGCATACCAAATAGAACATTTGTTGACATTGTTCTTTTTGTATATATATTTCTATTTTTTATCACTGTGTGTTAGTTTGATTTTTCTTCTCTTTCTTCTTTGTTTTTCTCTTTTCTCAATGATCATTTTGTGTTTGCTTTTGAAATAAACAAATCTTGAGCGCAAATTGATTTCGTTTGTTTTTATTTATTCATTTACTTGACTCGATGAAAATGCCAAAAATGGAGCATTTACTCCCGGCAAATTACGAAATGTTTGCCAGTGACAATAGTGGCGAGCTTACAATGTCAGGGATGTATAAATGTGAAGGATTATTTGCAAATTTTCTACAAAGCTTCAAACCTGGCCATGGCCAACTGAGATCTGCACGTGAAAGAAGGAAGATGAACGTCGACTAACTCTCTATTTTAGGTCTTAATAGAAACAGACCGGACAGCCAAACCTTCCGTGATGCTTTCTGCGCCTAATGTCGACCTGAGTGATGAACAAACAGCGGAAATTACATATTCAGCTCAAATGAATTGTCTAGGAGATTATCCATACAAACGACGTCGTTATGCTTTGATAATATTTCCGAATTCGGTGTTTATTATTGGAGGCTACGATTTCGATGCCAAAAATAAAACACGTTCTCGACCATTGCATGATTTCATATATGATATTGTAAGTATTCCGTAAATAGGCAAAAGCAATTCTTCTTTTCATTTAAAATTAATAATTATAGGACAAAAAAGAATGTCAGCCTATTGTATCGTTTCCACCACCTGGTCGCGTAGCCTTCGGTGTGGCACCATCGGAACGATATATTATAGTTATTGGAGGACAAACATTTGATAATGTGTCTCTATCGAGCGTTTTCGTTTTGGATACGCATCATGCAGATAAAGGTTGGATTTGAAGTGACAATTCTATGCTGGATATCTGTGAATTTTTATGTCGGTTGGGAAAAATTTCCATCGTACCCACATCCTGTATTGGCGCCTGGAGTTACTTTTACCGAAAATCAAGTGATTGTGATCGGTGGATTTGATATTGTTGTGGGTAGGAATGTCCATAGAATTGTGAGAGTTCGACCGATTATTTGTTTGTTAAGGAGAAACCGATATGCTATCGAGTCATTATCAATTGAAGTAAGAAGTTAACATCTTCTTTCGTTCTTTTTCAGAATATCTTTACTTTGGCTGTGTATTTAGTTTCCAAGAAAAAGTTTGGCATCGACGTGCAGATTTAAATCCAGCACGAGCACGTACGTTAGTCATTTGTATTTATAATGGAGATGATTTGGAAATATACAGTATGTATCTCATTGATATGATTTCTCGATATATTTATTTAATCGTCAATTTTTAGCGGCAGGTTCGTCAGTGACAGTAGAAAGTAAATCACTTTCCTGTTTAATGGGTTCCATTTAGGTGGTTATATGTTAATGAATGGCAAAGCTCAGGCTATTGGTCTGGTGATTTTTATTTTACTTTTCAATTGATCTACTTCTTCGTTGCAGATAAAATACATGCCTATGATGCTAAAAAGGATCAATGGAATAAACTAACTGATATTCCTGATCTCCGCATGGATCATGCTATTACTGTGGCGCAAACAAAGTTGATTATTAGTGAAGAGATGCCAAATCTAGACGAGCCAGTTCATCCCATTATGAATCCAGTACGTAAAGAATCTGATCTTTCTGCCATAAGTGACTATTGTTTTATTCTATTAAGATTCGGATGTATGATTTTGAAAGTGGAGCATGGAAGAAAATTGAAAACGAGGACAATCAGAATGTTCAAAATTAAATAGTGCAAGACTTCATAATATGAAATACTAAGCAGAGTATAATGTCTTCTAGTTGTATTGCTCGGAGAGAGCTTTGTCCATTTGAGGGAAACGAAAAATATTTAAAGAAAATTTTCATCAACGACGATGATAACGAGACTACAGAGTAAAAAGTAATCATGCAAGTAGTATCTTTAACTTCGCGGAACTTCTCTTTTTTTCAGATGTCTGATATATGACATTGTTGCCATGGTATATCGAGTGCTGGTATATCTTCACTGTTTGCTCTTTCAAATATATTTCAAATTTTACTCATTCACGTGTCGTCTTTTGCTATGACACTATATTGTGACGATTGCTGATGGAACTACGTCTATATTTATTTCTTCCTCGTAAATCGCATCGTTCTGATACAAGACACGGGTTTATATACTCGTCCATACAGAAGACAACGCAAGAAAACATCATATCAAAGTACATCAGAATACACCAAATAAGAAAAATCCATCAGACGAGAAAAACCATATCACGCATACAGCGCATGTCAGAGAGATTGTTACATGTAGAAAACATTAAGTACTAAACCCTTCTATAAACGAATAATCAAGGTTCGATAGCTAAGGTTTTATATGAAACCATCAGTCAGAGTGGTTTAGCAGGATTTACACCGAACCTTGTGTACGAAACCATTTGATGCTATGATCGAAAAGGTTTTGGACAGAACCTTTGCCATTAAACCTTTATTCTCACCTTGTCCAAATAGGTTCTATATGGCATCCATTTTTCTACTTAACCATAAGGATCGTCCCGTGTATCGGTGGGAAGAACCTTTTTTAGTTCGGTAAAGTTCCTTTTTTTTACAGTGTACATCTTGATTTGCTTTGACTCACCCACACCCTCACCATCAAATTCTTTTACTGAATCATGTTTTCATGAGAAATCCATTCAATCATAAGCAATAATGGAAAGATGTTATATACAGTTTTATTTAGTTAAATATGTAATTACGAATTTAGAGAAAACAACAGAGATTTATATAATTCGGTTATTTTTGTACAAATTATATTCGATGAAAATTGAGACAATTCGTTGTTCCGATAGATAATATATTCAAATCTCGAGTTTTTAGATTCACACAAAGTAGACAAAATTAGGATCAAAAAGACTTTAACAAAGTTTATTATGGCGTTGGAGCCGATAATAATGGCAAACACAGTATTTCACATCCTCCAAGACCCATTGGAGGAAGGGCAACTGAACAGTTAGCAATACATGCAAGGTAAGCAGCGATTCCAGCATTTGCGACTACAGCAATCGATAATAATAATAATATTGTTATTGCAAAATTTTGAGTGTACATTGTTTCTGCAATTCAAATGTTATTGTGGAATTAAGAAAGCCAGTGAATTATATTCATCAACTTACTTCGTTTTGTTTCTTTTTGTACAAGTTAGGCTGATGTTTGAAACGAGTTTTCGACAGCAGAAAATCTATGGTTTTTATAGGACCTTTGAAGGGTGGTTTCCAATGCATCTTTACTCATCACTAGGACTTTTCCACATTTCGTAATGTTAAGAGAAATTTCTCGAAAGCATCATAAGAGTAAGTATATATCATTCCGAATATAGTATAATCATGTGTAATAATTTACATTCCTCCTACGCAACGAAATGTCGTTGGAATAATCCAGTTCTTCATTCTTCCGAAATTTTTCTTTTTTCACGATAGACAAAGACCAATTAAAAACAAAAAAAAACAGATACTGCATTTTTCCCACAGGTACACGTTTCATTGCGTCTATCTTTTAATATTCTAAGAAAAAAAATAAATGTAATAGGTTTTTTCCTTGTTCTCTGTTGGCGGAATAAAAGCCAACGGGAATATTCTTTTCGATATCAAGAATGATATATATATATATACGTATATTAAGAGCAAGCATTATTTTACATCAAAACATTTGATTTCATCGCTATCAACGACCGTCGAATACAAGTAAGTGTGTGCTGTGCCAAACAGTCTTTATTCAATTTATCTTCCGTACTGTTTTCTGTAGATACTAGATACCCGCACATATAATGGCAAATTTCACTGCAAACTTGTTACTTATTCTACTGATTGCTAGTGTTCAACCAACAGCAATAATATCTATGCCTATTTTATGGGTTATTTGTATGGCAGGATGTGCATCTTTGGCTGGGCCAGCCTTCATAGCTTGTATTGCATCGTGTGCACCACTATTACCGGCTCCAACGCCATAATAAACAAGCGATATGTTAACCAAAATAAGATTGATAATGCCACAAAGTGGGTCCGGATTTTTTCTAGATTTCGCCAACAATTCAAACAAAACAATATCTTCTCTTTAAACAACATAAATTAAAATTATTCGAATATTGTTTTATTTCAAAATACGCTTTATTTAAATGTGATTTTTTTTGTTTTATATACATTCTTTATTAAAAAAGCTTGTTAATAGAACTACTACTTTAGAGTTAAATTAAGCAAATAACTCTCGAAATCTAACTCCATAAGCTCTGAAAAAAATAAAGGAGCTTTTCAGAACCCCCCAAAATGGTTCTGAAGAGATTCAAAAGCTTCCTTTTGAGCCGAAAGTTCCAAAAAAAGAGTAAAACATTTAGAAAATAAAGATAAGACTGCTGCAAAGATCATAATTAAAGTTTTATCTCAAACAGCAATAGAAGAGAGGATTCGAGCTTTCGTGTTCAACTGAACACACCATCAGGAATTGCTTTGTGATTTTATTTATCTAGTTAAGTGAAATTATTTACAGAAATTTAGATAGATGTGAATGAAATCAAATATAAAAAATATTCAAGTGGTGTTTGTGCCAACAAGTACAATGTTGAAGATTATATCATTGTATCTGTTCGTCCTTCACCTCTTTCTTTCAATCTTTCTTCTTCGTTGTGTCATCTATATAAGGCAATGTTCAGTATGATATGAGACACAACTGGAGTGTAGAGCGTTACAATGTTGACATTCCCTTTTCTGGAAGAAAGGGTTATACAACGGTTAAATTTTGGGCTCACAAAGCTTAAAATTTGTCTGTCATTCTGTTTGTCCAAGCCAATCAGATTGCAGCATTCAATTACTCATAGAAAACTTGATGATGGTCGTATGGAAATGCTTGACCGAAGGATAATCGAGGTCGAGGATCACGAATCCGAGGTTAGTTTCTTAAAATTCCGATTAGCTAATTAAGTAGTGAAAAAATTTTCGGTTGTGGAGTAAGAGCTGACCGAAGGGTTATCGATATCAAAGAATTCAAACTTGAGGTTAGTTTTTCGTTACTTAACAAGATGCGTCTTATACTCTTCTATTTCTAATGCAGATATTTATTTCTATATTTTCTAAAATCTTGTGTAGAGGGTAGTGGATGAAACCCCACTCCTAGACACGATGTATGCGAAGATAGTGGCTTATGCCTTTACGCAAAGAGATTTAGCATATCTAACATTATGATATTTGCAATTGAAGCAATAAAAAAAACAGTACCTATTTAATATCGTATTTGTCTTGTGGACTCCGATAATCAGATCTTTTCATAGAATTTTTGGGAAAATAAGCCTCCAAAAGGTATGCTCGTCAGTGCAATTCCACCTGATTAACTACAGAGATAACTGCTAGGTACATAGTAAATAGTATTGTAAACATATGAAGCATTATGATTGAACCATTCCGCATCGATATTCCACAGTCAGCACTTGATGATCCGAAATATCACCTCGAATGGACACGTTGGCCTGATCGAGAAACAGTCGATGATTGGAAACAAGGTGTACCTCTCGAAAAGGCTAAATCGCTCGTCGACTACTGGCGTCTGTACTACGATTGGCGTCGCTTTGAAAATCGAGCAACAACTGATGGTGTGAGTATTCATTTCATTCACGTCAGATAAGAACATGGCAATGCACTACCAATCATATTTACCCATATGGAAGGCCTGGTTCGTTCATTGAATTTCTTCGCGTCATTCCACGCCTCACGAACCCTACGACATTTGGAGGCAAGGCTGAAGATGCTTTCCATATTGTTGTACCATCAATTCCAGGTTACGGATTTAGTGACAAACCAAAAGAAACCGAATGGCACACGGCACGTATTGCGAGAGCATGGGTAATACTTATGCAACGTTTGGGTTATCAAAAATGGATTGCTCAAGGTGGTGATTGGGGAACTGATATAGCAATAATACTGGGCTCTATACGTCCTATAGGGCTTCTCGGTATTCATCTCAACTTCCAATACGTTTTCCCGGACGATCAATCCGATAACTTCTCGCCTGGTGAACAACGAGCGATAGACATAGCGAGCCACTATCTCTCCGATGGATGGGAGTTTTTTTCAGTAACAAAGTACACGACTTCAAACGATTGGGTATGGATTGTGACTCGTCTGTTGCTCTCGCTATGTATATTTACGAGAAATTCTATGAATGGACCGATAACAAGGACGAGCCTGTACATGCAGTCAAGATCGATGACATACTTGATAACATCATTTTCTACTGGTTGGCCAACACTGGTACTTCTGCAGCACGACTCTTCTGAGAATGTCGTTAGCGGGCCCATCGCTTTATTTACCGGTCATTGCTAGTGTCTTTTCGCGTGAGATCTTTCGAGCACCGAAGAGCGGGGCATAAAAAAATATCCGAACTTGATCTATTGGAATGAACTAGAAAAAGGAGGACATTTCGCGGCATTTGAACAACCAGAAGTCTTCACCAAAGAACTTGCTGCTGCTTTTCGTACTCTTCGCAATGTGTAGTATGAAATCAGAAACTGAGCTTCTCTTTTCATCTTTGGCCATATTTTAGGGTGAGGATGTACATGAAAGGAAGACGTAAGGTTCATACCATCAAATATCTCCTTCCATTGATGAAAATCAATCATAACATTCACACTTTACAGATTGTAACACTCATGTTTTTCATATCGCGTCAAAATACTATTCGGGCATTCTATTTTACTGATGAATGTAGGAGAAACTATTCATCCTCATTCTATGAGTGAAGAGGGTTTATTCTACGTTTATTTTTATTGATATTCGTATTGTTCTCTTAAAATACTCTATGCATACCTTCCTTTTTACTGGTATACCTTGATTTGCACGAAATTTATGATTGAAAACTCGATTTGGTTAATAGTGAAGACAAAAGAATTTGTCAATTAATAGATTTAAATAAATATTTGAATCATCTTACAGCAGGAATTCTCAATAACGCATCTTTGATTATAATAATCAGCTTATAAAAAGATACGTATCACGCCAAACACATGCTCAAAGAGAAGAACTTATCACAGTGCAGTTTAAATGAGCGTCTAAAAACAAAACAAGAATCATCTGCGTTTACAATAACAGAAAGGCAACTCCTTCTTCAGACGCACAAGTCATACATTGACAAAATATGATATGAAAAGCAACAAGTTGTTCATGATTTTCACAAATGCACTAAATCGATTCATGGTACTGGAAAACAACTTTAACACGATAATAACAGCCATTACTCAAAACTGACACATGTAACAGAAAAGACCGTTCGTATTGGAGCGTAAGCAATTGCTAATTATGAATGTCAGTGTCAAATTTAGGCCTAAAAAAGTCTACCATTAAGCATGCATGGGCGGAAAGTTCAAACTCTTTTTTGGAATCAAAATTCTTTTTTCGCCGACGACTTCGGCTATTTGATCAACGAGTACTAAGCATTAATATGCACAGCAAGTACACTAAAGCTAATTAATCGCAATCGATAGGTTCACGACAGAGAACCCATCCAATTAAAGACGAGTTAATTTCAATATTGATTGAGTGTAAGTCAATTAGAACGCATAGCGACTATAGGAATATATTTTCTTATGAATGCTAATGTATTTTGAAGACAGAAAGAAACGGACTCCATGAATAGATTATATTTTTATATCAGGAAAACAACAGCAAAGAAAACGATATGTATTTGATATAGATGAAAGAGAGAAGACACAGAAAAAGAAGCGAAAAATATGCAAACATCTTATTATTCTAAATGACTTTCAAGTAATGTGCTAAGAAAACGAATTTGTGCATTTTAACACATAGGTGGGTTGACAAAACCGAAAACATTCAACTCAATTGATAAGGAGAAAACCACGAATATTCCGTAAATACCAAGGAAAAATATACCGAGATTTTTATCCAAATACCATTGACGACGATGAAAACTAATTACCTAATAGACAAGAAAAACATCATCAGTACAATTCTCTCTTGTCTATTCATTGACTTCTTACTGTTAAAGCGACAATACCAAGTAAAAGAACGGAATCATACATCAATCCATTGGAATTAATGTGCACGGCTTCTCCACTAATTAATGTTTTGAAAAACCATGGCAGTGCAAGACCAACAAGTAGATCAAACACATTTGAACCAAATGTGTTCGATACACCCATATCAACCAAACCTAATCATACAAATCGGTTCGAACAACTAGTAAACTGTCATCCATAATCTTCTTACCTTGACGGACAACCAGAACGCTGCTCATGGCATCCGGTACACTGCTACCTGCAGCTAAAAACGTGATACCCATGACACTATCTGGTATACCAAAAGTGAAACCAATAATAGTGACCATCCAGACCATTAAATAAGTCAATAGACATAACCAAACAATGGACATGACAAACGTACATGGATACCACTTGAACCATCTGTTTAAAAGCGAGCATTTTTATTGATGTGATAAAGTTTACTGACTTACCGTGGATTACGACAGTCGGGAATGGTAAAATGAAAGATGATTTTAATTGGTGCTGTAACTGCCCATTTCGCAAAATTGACAGGATCATAGTTGTAATTCGGAATATTCTTCCAGTCATCATAGTTTTCGTCAGCAGCTAGTAGGCTGAAAAATAAAATATATTTTCCGTTGATGAAATACCCTATTTTGTATTGAATAGAAGAGATTTTACCTCGGTGTTCGACCTTGATAAAACGAGAATCGTCTTTCATTTGCTGGCTTTTGTGGACGTATTACTCCTTGACCATGTTGAGTTCGTAGCTATAAACATGAAGATAACTAGGAGTTCTTCTACTCATTTGATTTATCTCACGTGACTAATGACGAACCGCACAGCCATTCGGAATCGAGTACGATTTCGAAAATATCTTGACATCATGATTTTCAATGCTGCTGTTTCGAAATCAATCGGTATGCGTGAGCGAGCGATAACTTCATCGACTGGTGCTTGTCTCTGTTGCATTGGCGCACTATTATAATTTTGACCCTCATCGTCATCAAATCGTTCTAAAACAGGCATCAATCCGATACAGAATGAAAACTCCAAAGAACTAACCGTAAGTATTTTTCGCTCCGTATGTTTTTTGGACATTAGCCGGATTGATGATTGGCTCCTCTGAGTAGCCCAATGTTTGGAAAACTTGCCATCGACTAAGAATTGATTGTCTTATACGTTGATTATTACTAAACAAAGGCGTTTTTCGCCTTTTCGTAGCAAACAAAGTCATAATCCATTCTTACCACATGATAGCAATATAGCCTGCGTACATGAGAAGAAGAAAAGTCGATTCAAATAATGTAATGCGTCCATCAGATAAACACTACAACATGAATAGAATCTCATTTAACGGCATTCAATCAGACTAGTGACATTCACCATGATTAAAATTAAGATCGACAATGAGTAGTAAATCGAATCACGACATAAGGGCCTGAAATAGATCATGTACATACATATATGGATGGAATGCTTTCTTCAATAAACATGATCATGACATACCACCAAGTCAGTCGGATAGCCTGTTGAAAACATATGATGAAATTAGAAAATGATCGTTTATTTTTAGACTTACTGCGTTCACAAATAGACCACATACGCCAATTACACAAACGATGTTAAAAACAGCCGAACCAACAATTGTTCCAACCCCTACGTCACCCTTAGCAACAAAGATTCCTAGAAAGCACGTCGTTTAGTCTTTTTCAACAAAATCTTTCTTCATAATCAAATTTATCTACCGATAATGGCAGTAAACAGTTCTGGCGACGACGATCCACCGGCCATGAATGTTGCACCGGCAACGTCTTCATCGAGACCCAATGTCTGTACAAAAAATTTTCCATTAAATGTTCACATTTCAAACTCAATCACCTCCTTACCGCACATAATTTGTCTAATGCAGATATGAAATAATCATCAACGACAATAGCGATGGCAATGAATATGTAAAGACAAGCCATAAAATGAAATATTATCGCTCCCTGGATAGAGAGAAAAGGGAGCTAATTTTGATTTGTGAAATCGAATTGACTTACACTACGACGTTGTGATTGAGTAAAAAGGTCTTCAGGAAATTCATCAATAGCTGCAATGAAGACAAACGAAAACAAGAAATGTCATTTGTGAGTCATTTATGCTTTTTGGAAAATCTCATTTTAACAAGACAGGGAGAAAAAAAGAAAGAAAGAAAGAAGCATGTAGAGATTAGATTATGAAACTTCTTTATTTGATAATTTAATTTGACATAAATTATTGAAGAAGAAAGATTCCTTTTATTTTTTCTGTTTATAAGCAGACTAGATAAACAGGAGGAAGAATGTTTTGAAAAGGAAAAAATCAAATCATACGCACCTGGTTCCGTACAATTTTTCAGTTGACCAGGTTGCCAACTGGCACCACTGGATACAACAGTGGTACTGATGACGATAGTTGTCGTTTTCTCATCATCATCGCGATCTAAATGAATAAAATGTCACCTTTATATTCTTGTCATATTCAATAAATGGAGAAGGAATTCAACCGCAATTCTCCGGAGAGATTATCTAATAAAGTATCATGCTAGGTTTTGTTGATGTAACTAGCGTACCTCAGTGATATCCTATGTTGATTGTCGTCTTTTCCGGTGTTAGTAAACAGATCGAACATGATTAGTGTCAATAGGAGAAAATGAGGAAAACTAAATCATTTACCATTCGATGGAGTCGTTGATTGTGTTTTTTGCGGTCGATATTTCCAATTTGATTTCGTACTACTGGGTGCGGCATCACTCGGTCGAACACGTTGCCCGATGACATGTGCCAAAGCGAGTCCAACGAGAATACGAATAAAGAACTTGACGTTATGTCGATTGATAAACTGACTCCTCGTGGAATGTCGTTGTTTGTGTAACAACGAAATCGGTGAATTTTGCATGTTGATGCGAAGAGGATGTACTCGACGATTACCAGTCAAGGCATCATTTGGTCTTCTCTTTTTTCCGATTGTTGTGTTATTGTTGTCATTGTAATGAACCTTGACTAAAGATATGTTGTAGTGTGTCACTCAATTCTTTTAACTATTTTTGCATTTGTTCAGCGCATCTTACGCTCTCGAGCTTTTTTTTGTGTTTCTTTATCAAGTATTGCAAAGAGCGCGACTTCTCTTAGAGCGAGAGAGAGAACCGGAAAATTTTCTGTCGAACTAAGAAGAAGAGCATAGAGAAAGAGAAACAGAGACAGCGAGTAACTGCTCGGAAAGAGATAAAGAAAAAAGACCGCTATACAATTAATTATCGCAAATAGAGGGGGCGAACGAGAAGGGAGACGGAACGCATTTCAACGGAAAACTAGAGAGAAACGAGGATCGTATTGTTGATAATTCATAAGGAAAAGACAGGAAAAACGCCAGTGACACGGAGCAGATATACAAAACTTGAACGGGTTAATGTAACGAAAGAGAAAAAGAAAGAGAAAAAAAAGAGAGAAGAAATGTCGATGTCGATCGACATGTTTACGCAAAATCAGTAAAAGTCGCTTCTTCAATATTATTGAAAGAAGACGGGGGAGAGAGGGAGAGAGGGAAACGGATGAAAAGAAAGAACAAAAGTTAGATATGTTCACACACTCAGTACCCTCCTACTAGTCTCGTTACTTTCTTTTTGGTCGGAGTTGTGACAAGAAAATTGTGCTTTTTCTGTCTCTTCGTCTCGGTTTCATTGCTGTCAAATTTCTAGCCGAGCAATTCAACATGAATGATGAACGTGCATGCAACCGAGCAAGAAAGTCGCAATAAGAAATGTATACAAAAGACGACGCTAGGATAGCATTGCAATCGGATGTCAATACTGTTTCTACTTCGAAACAAATATAAAATTTAATCAAATTTCTACGATGATTTCTTTGAAAATAATTCGCGCTTGTTATGCACTGTGATTGTACTTTTCATCTTTGTTCATGTTCACATTATCATCGACAACAGGACAGCAGAATAATTCGATGAGCTTTCAAGCAAAACAATCGAAAAGATTCAATCGAGAGTTGAAATATTCTTCGCGAATACCGAAATTAGTCCAAACACAATTCGCACAATTTCTCAATAATCTTTTAGAATATTCCAGTGAGTTAGCTTATTTTGCAATCAATGCATTTCAAACATCATCATTGCGACGCGTGCAGGTGAATACGATGGTAATGTGAAACTAGAAAATCGAATCGTCTTTATGAGTTTGTCTCTTCCAGCAACGATTTTCTGGTTTTTGTCTACCTCGAACATGTGTGTTTTATTACAATCTCGACGCAGAATTTGATAATTTCGTTCAAAACATGCGCACACTCTGTGCTCTAGGTAGAAACAACGAAAATATTATTTCTAACAAGAATTGTTTTTCAAAATCTAGCCAAACGAACATTTTTGGACATACGAGTCACACGAATTCATGCTTCCGATAGTAAAATGATGAGTTTACCAATCATCCGTCGGTCTATAGGCGTCTTCAAATGTAATATTAATCGTTTACGTGATTTGAAGCGACTTCATCAGGACATTGACCATGATCTTCTGTTGCCCAATGATCAACTATATCTCGCTCTTGATTTACTTCTAACCGATTTCGAGCTGTTAAACTGTGAACTAGACGCTGAAGTATGATTACACACAATATTGTTCGTCTCATTTTCTATTTCGTTGTAAGGTCAAATTCGCTGATGCAATGATTTTACAAACTATTATTAAAGGTACGTGTGATTTTCTAAGTAGAAAACTGCCAGAGAAATGAAGTTCTCTAAAACAGTATTGGAAAAAGTATTATCTTATTGTTAATGCACGACTTATTCTTTTATGTTCTAAAGAATCATTTTCATAAAAGATTACGTTTGTTCGATCGACAGACGAGAACTGATTAAATCTAATAGAAATGAACGTTCCATAGGCTACAGATGATTTCTTGTTGTCTAGATATATTTCTCCAATTTCGTCTTGCATTGTCATGGATTTATCCTGCAATACAACACGCTGCTTATCGCCCCGGAGATCCAAATCCGGAACATGAAGTGAAAAAATGTGATCAACAAGCGACTATTCGGCACGTGGATAATTTCTGCGGAAAACGGAAGGAAAAAAAATCGAATGAATCTGATCTTCGTTCGTTGACACATTTGAAAAGAGATAGAAATGAAAATTGTATTAAGGAAACAACTAAAGATACAGAAAATGAAAAGAAAAAAAAGAAATATTCAAGGAAAATACTTGTCATACCCACTGTTAATAACGGCTTTCATCGATATTTACATAAGAAAAAGCTTCATAGTACAGGTATAATACATTTACAACGATCGCAATCAAATCCAAATATACTTTCTATGGTATGCATTCATGAAAAATGAACTGAGTATGAAATTTTCAATCTTAGATTAAAAATATATCAGAAATGAATTATAAGTGATCGTCAACGACATTCCCTACGTCAGCACTTACAAATCTGATTGTATTTTGCAACAGATACATGTGTTGGCTGGTTCTTTTTTTTTGTCTTTTTATTTTCTCAGTGATGTGCACTTCACATCTGCTTGTTATATTTACATTCTCTCAGTGCATGCGTGTGAGAGAAAAGCCTTTTTTTTTCTTAATGCATCTCAACAATGGTTTCAATGCGAAATAAACAGTACTTGTTCAACATTGATACTAACTTCCTTTTGTTTGAACGGAAACGTCGTTATTAAGAAAGAAAGAGCGCCGAACAAATAGCGTGATATTCAAATATTGGGTTTTTATCGGAAAGAGTTTTTTAACACAAATTGTTACAATACGATTTTTTTCCTGTGTTAGTTTGTTGATTGAAAAAGAAGAAACTTTCGTCATTATCAAAAGTGTAAATTGATGATTCAAGAGCTAGAACACGAGTGCCATTTGCTAACATGAGTTTTGTGAGTAATCAACATTGACAAGAGTTCGTAATTAAACGTATGGCACGTGTCCATCCTTTTGATTTACAACAAGGAAATAACCATGGCTGTGCCAATTTCTCAAGTTGATTCGGGACAGAAATCAACGTGGCTTGATGTTCCTGCAAGGCAAGATCCATACTCGATAAAATAGTAGAATATTTTTCAACATCTAACGGTGACTCTTCGGCAGGATCCGCTTCAATATCGAATAGTAATGGAGGCGAATGTTGTGTACTAAGACATGGACATATGGTCACACTAGGACAAGCACGAAGGTCTTCATCCCATTTTGGAGTCCAATAGTGTGCTTTATACTTACCTTGGCGTATAGCTGTTACAGTCGAACCACAATAATGAAACAAAGTATTTCGTTCATTTGATGAGGACGACGATGATGATGTTAAAGAAGTTGCCAATTCCAATTGTGGCCACAAACTGGTACCGTCGAGAGGACGATTCGCATCCGATTTCAAATTCCATAAATCCAACAGTGAGGGATAAAAATCTAGTAGAGAAGAAACATGGCCAATGGTCTGATTAGCAATGACATGTCCTGGCCAACGAATTATACCAGGTACACGAATGCCACATTCCCATGTCTGTCCTTTGGCACCCCGTAATGGTTCACTCAGTTGACCCGTTACTGTTACAGCACGTCCGCAAAAGCCAGCTTCGATGCCGCGTTCAAGAAACGGCCCATTGTCAGAAGAAAAGAAAACCAAAGTATCGTTTTCAATATTCAGATTTTTCAACGCTTGAAGAATCTGCCCAACGCTCCAATCCAATTCTTCAACATTATCACCATAAGCACCATGACGGCTGCGTCCGGCATTTTCAGGCAAAGTAAACAATGCTGTGTGCACTTTGATGTATGCCATGTAGAGAAAGAATGGCTTTTTATGATTGAGATTGGTTTCATTCATAAATGCGATTGCTTGATTTGTATTACGAAGTGTCAAATCAGCGAGACGTACAGGCTGCTCAATGATGGTTTCGTTTTGATACAGCAAACATGAAGAACGACTAAGCAATGTAAACGAAAGTGTGTACCACATCCCACCGAAAAACCCAGTAGCACCGCAAAATAATATCATCAGAGCCAGCTTGCGAGAATACAATAGCCATGTTGTCAGCGCGATACCAATAAATGCTAGCCACGCCTTAAGAGGATAAAAAAAAATGAAAAAGTAGGTTGCAAATCAAAGAGTCGTAAATGGCGGACGATTTACTTTGCCAGTCAATGCAAGCCAATATGTTAGGAAAGATCGTTCGAGAACTTGCCCATGACCGCCGATTAAATTGTAGATCTTTTTATTTCCACATGTCTGAACATTGGTTACAGGCATGCCGAAGAATGTGTCAAAACCATGACGCGTTGGTAAATGTTCGCCATCTCGCCCCAAACCCAAATGCCATTTTCCGACTAAACCAGTACGGTAACCGACTTGTTGAGCAACTTCAGCAATAGTCGTCTCATCGTGTGGCAAGCCACCCGGTTGACCTGGAGAATTGAATGTCCGAAATCGATTATCGTTTGAGGTTAAGCCTAAACGAATTGGATAACGTCCTGTTAGAAATCCTCCACGAGATGGTGTACATATTGGAGCTGCTGAATACATTTGTGTATATCGTGCACCATCACGTGCTAATGAATCAATATGTGGAGAGTCAATGGTTGAATTTCCATAACAACCTAAATCTCCATAGCCTAAATCATCCACAAGGAATATTAGAATATTCGGAGTTCTTGATTGAGAAAGATGAATGAAACATAAGAGAATCGCATAGATTTCAGAGAGAAATTTCATTAGTATCTAGATATATTTTGTAAAGCAAACTGTGCTTATGATATGAAGAGTGTAGAACACTTGATAAATATACCATGGCGTGATCACTACAACGTCACTATTTGTTTTTCTGCTTCTTCTTTACTTCATAATCAGTGGTTGATCTTTGGCATCGACGAAGAATTTTCTTCAAGGGATAAGTTTTTTATCGGAGAGATCTAGAGATTGTGCTTTTCAAATTTAATGAAGACAATAATTAAAAAATGTCCTTTTGAAACGAGAAGCCAAGAAGAACACACAAAATGTGTCCTTCAGTATCAAAGACAGAATAAGATACCTTATCATCAAATATATGCGAATCCGATATGTATGTTACAAACGTTCGTTCTCGATGTATATATTAGATGACTTTGATTGAGTACTGCATGAGCTAAATCCGTTCCTTCAACTCAAAGATGTAGTGAAGTTCACGTACACAGGAACTAAGACGCACAAAAAAATCCTTATTTTCAGGTGAATATTTCTGATTAAATTCGCGATTATCTTTGTAACAAACGAACTCATCGGTATCTACCGAAACTGTACATTACAAGAGTTACTTCGTACGATCGTGCGTTGTTCGAAAACAAATAGCTTTCAATAGAGGTCACTAATACATTCTTCATCTCTCTTTTGTGATTTCTTTAGAACATCCACCAATTGTTAAAAGAGTGTCAAAAAATGATGATTATTTAGCTCGTCTTACTATTATATGTGTACCGTTTCTTCTTATCATCATTATCATCATCCATATTGTATTCAATGTCATCTCCGATTACGACTGAATCGGTAAAACTTCGCAATACGATTGTTTTGCATGACTAACACATCTCAGTTTAGAAACTAGCATTCACTTCGCTACGGATCTGGCCGGCTTATGGTGCCTTACCTTCGTTCGATCCTGAGTGTCTTTGCGTTCTGGTAAGACTTCATTTATTTATCTGCGAGTGTTCCTTATGTTTTTTCTAGGCACATCTTGCTTTTTCTCGGTTGAACGTCCATATAAAATCAAATCTTAGTCGATTTATATTCGCCAAAGGTAATATTTGTATGTTTTTATAACAATGTCATTCGTCACTCGTTTTTCAATGTATTGTATAGAACGTCTACCACTTTTACTCGGTGATAATGATAAAATCTCTCTCGCGGTCGGCTACGAAGCGATCGTTGATCACTGTAGAAAATCAGTAAATCATTGTTTACTTGTACAAAACATATACGTTGCTCGTCTATTTAGCATATCGATATCGATGAACAATCTTCTGTCGATGTTGCTGATTTATTAGCATTAAATGCTTTAATTAAATCAACATTTGTACCTGCTGTCGTACGTTTGATCAATGAATTGTCCGTTGAAATTGAAAGCAAGTTTGTTTGTTTAGTTGGATACATTTTGGTTGGATGATACCTATCGAAGTTCGATCATCAATGTTTACGCTCGACCATTAGGTGGGTTTCCTCTTGCATTCATCTATGGTAAACAGATAACAGAAAAGATAAAAGATCAATTCAGTATTACCTATGGTGATAAGAATTTCGAGCAAACTCGAAAAACGGTACGGGAGATTATTTAGGATTGTCGAGAATCGATTTGATCTATTTAGATATTTGAAAAAGCAAAAAAAACTATAGATCATTTGACGTTTGTATTGGGTAAAAAACCGTTTCTATTTGGTGCTAGGTAAATATATATTCAGACTTCTCATATCATTAATGACTTCGTCGTTTTAGTCCTACAAGTGTTGATGCATACGTTTTCGGATACCTAGCTCCATTGATTCACGGTCCAGCATCGAATAGTGGTCTAGCACGATACGCATCTAGTCGACAAAATCTTCGTGACTTTGTTGACCGAATATTAACTGTATATCTTGGTGATTTAGGTAAATACATTCAATGAAAGAAATCCGTTTTAGTTGAAAGCTTCTCGTTTTCTAGCAAGAGATAGTTCGTCAAGTGAATCCGTCTCTACATCAGTACCAGCCATGCCGAAAGAAGATCGTCTTCGAGATAAGATCGCTGTCATTGGTGTTGGAATATTAACTATGTGTGCCTATGCATATTTTTCTGGACTTATTCGTATTGAGATCAATCAAGTCGAATGACATGTGTGTGCGTGCGTGATAGTTATATTAAAAAAAGAAAGAAAACAGCGCAACAGTTCCTATTCTTTAGGCAACGATATTTAGATTTATTTTCTTTTTTTTGTAGAAGAAATTTTCCGTGTTTCCTATGGAAGATTTAGTCTTAGCCAGCTTAGATTCCGTAAGTACGTTTTGAAAAATGAGATATTGTCTCTAGTTATGGAATCTTCTAGGCAGTTTTTGACGTAGACAATTTGATTGAGAATATTGCCTATAAATCAACTGATGGAAATGTCATCAATGAAAACTTCGATCCATACGTCTTGGAAGGCAAATTCCGTCAAGCAATGTCGATTTTACAGGTAATTGACCCCTTGACTTCATTTTTTTTGTATTCCTGTTTTGCTCTTTCAGGATTGTCAGGTCCAAACCGAACAAAATATCAAACATCTCGAAGAAGCATGCGAGAAAGAACGAAATACCTGGGCCAATAGTGTTGCACAACTTGAAGAACTATACCAAGTAGATTATTCTCTAGTTTGTAATGAAATTCGTAGTGAAACATTTAGTCCACATACACTGGTCAACAAGAACTCGAGATGCGAATTAGTGTAATTTCAACAAAAGTCATTCAAATAGGTCATCAACTTGAAAGCAAAAGCAATCCACGTCAACAACTGGTCGATGCAAGAACAACCGCCAAATATTTGGAACGTTTTCTGGATGCCAACGACGATGTTAGTCTAATGTTTCAAGATGCATCGAAACTTGAACAAGCTGCACATATCATTCATCAGTTGTACAATGTGTTGCAAGAATTACCTGATGAAGCGAAGTAAAAGATTGTTTTGGGGGAAATGAATCGACGGCAAAGGTGTATTTTAGGTTCACCGATGCAAAAAACAAAGTGAAAGAGCGTTACATGGCAATCGAAGAAGATCTACTCTTGGAGTTTTCTCGAGCACAAGTTCGAAACGATAAAAAGGCTATGAAGAAATATATCAAATTACTTTCGAAATTCAAAGTATAATTAAAGATTTCAACGGATATTTCTGCATATTAATCTTTTTTTATATTAGGGACACAATGATTGCATACAAAATTTTATTACAGATTGTCTAAAAGTACGTTATTTGACTTCCAATTGAGAAAATAATCTATCTTCTTGATATTCAGGGCTATTTCGATAATCCAAATATTGATATATTCAATTCCATTCCGCAATTATTTGTCAAAGTTTCGGAACTGATTAATGAACTATTCGATCAACCCGAAAAAGTTACCGAACGATTAATAATTACTGTTTATATGGAAAAATTGGCGGTTAGGCATCATTCTCCTTTGAAAGAATTTTCATTTCAATTAATCTTTCTTTCAGCCTTATGTTCGTGATCAGCTCGAACCATATCTACGTGATCCTGGTCCGGAAAATATGGAAAAATATCTTCAGACGTTGTACACATTACATAAAAAGTAAAGAGATCGCTCTTGTTGATCTATGCTCACAGATTTCAAACCATAGAGCAACGAAACTATCCCATGATTTACAAACTCAAAAGATTAGCGACGATCCAGCATTTTTGCACAAGCTCAATCAATATGTTTTCAAAACTTATCTGAAAACCTATAGCGAGTAAGAAGCAGTTTTGTTATTGGGTGGAATACATGTGTTTCATTCGCCTTTTTCTTTCAAGATATGAATTGAGTTGTTTAGAAGAAAAATTTCAAGTACATCTCGAAAGATTAGAATTAAGTGGTGGACAGCGTCGAATGAAACCAACTGGACTCAGGTAATGCGATATAGTTCATCGTGTTCGATTGACATTTTTGTTTATTTAGTATCACTGATATCATTCAACAACGACTTTTGAATACGGATCAAGTAGATGAATCTCGATTTTCACCTGATCTAGCAGCAGCTCTCTTGAACGATTGTCGAACAGCGATGACTCGAATCACTACTGTTAGTGCTTAAATTCTTCTAGCAAGCCTTTATTTTTCCTTTCCAATCTTTAGCTATCCGAAGGAACGGAGGCGTCGGAAAATATCCTTCAATGTTTTCGACGTTTACTCAATGCTTTGGGCAGTCAACATATTGATACTGAATTACAATATAGTTTACAAGCCATACCTGGCCCAGAACCAAAACAAGAGCCAGACATACGTTTCTTCCAGGCTATACTTCAAACGAACAATAGCATTCAATTGATTGAACGCTATTTCGTCATGGATATTGCTCCGTTGCTTTTGTAAGAGAGTCGAAACCAAGGAATACACACATGATCGGTTTTATTTTAGAGGTACACAACAGCAAACCGTACTTTTACAATCAAAAGAAAAAGTCTTTGGTCAATTAGAAGAACTAATCAATGTTGGTGTAGACAAGTAAGTTTATTCTTTCCCGAGAACTTATCTTCATTAAATTTCTTTCAAGATCTTTGTCATGCATTATCGGCTATGCTCGAAATATTCTCAATGAACAAAAACGGTCCGATTTCAAACCAGAAAGTGACCTGTCTATATATGAATGTTCACCGGTGAGCACGAAATTCGATTTCTGACAATCTTCATCGCTTGAATTCGAATCGTCTAGATATGTAAACGTGTTGTTCGTTCGATTGACACCCAAATAGTTCGACTCGAGCAAAATGTTGATGGAAAAAATTTAATAGGTATTTTAAACGAATTTGGTCTTCGTTTTCATCGTTTAATTATCGATCATGTTTTTAAATTCGAATATAATATCTCAGGTTAGAACTAAGACTCGCAAACGTCATTTGATTTAATTGAAATTTGATTTAGGCGGTTTAATGATGCTGCAAGATGTGAGTGAATATAAAAAGTGTTCGAAAAAATTTCGTAGCTCGACCGTTGAACAACTATTCTCTATTCTACATGCACTCGTCAACCTATTGGTTGTCGTACCTGATAATCTTCGTCAAGTTATCACCGAAGGACATCTCGTATGTATATTTTTCGTTGATTTAATTAATTTTTAATTCGACCAACTAATTTGTTTACGTTTTGCTTATTTTTCGTTTAGGCATCATTAACTCGAGATATCATTGAGTCATTTGTACAACTGCGTACGGATTATAAATCAGCTCGATTACACACCATGATTAGTAGCGAGCAATGAATAGACATATCTTCCACATTTCTCTTTCTTTCGTTATCTTTTATTTAATAAACGTAATTTGTAAGCTATGGAATCACAATTGACTCGAATAGGGGGCATGTACACGATGACTTTAGCGTTATTTTTTTATGATTTTCACCTTGGTGACATTACATGAAGGTTGACGAATGAGAATGAGGATATTTCACATTCAATAACAAGACAACTGACTGAAGCTATAAAATCTCGTATTTTAATAACTATAAAGTCTTATCAGAATACTCTGTCTATATAAATTCGGGCTTTTTTTGCACAAAAATGCGAAGATTAACGAACGAAAGCCAATTTTATTGTTTTGAAAAATAACTCAGTTTAACGACAATGGAACAAAATACATTTCTACTACTGTTGACAAGTATTCTAGCTGCAATTGCAACTATTTTCTCGATTGTTGGTGTAGCAACAGATGGCTGGTTCAGTAGTTCCAATCTCTTCGCAAGTTCAAATACTGACAGAACAGCGGCTGGTGCTTTGCTCATCATAAGTATTGTCCTTTTGGCTCTATCTACTGTATTGGACTTAATGTTTTGGCGAGGTCTGATCAGTAATTCTGCTGATAGAGTTAAATGTGTCGTCCTGGGACTGTTAGTTAGCGCGAGTATTCTTATTATCATTGCCTATTCGCGTGCGATTGCTGCTGCTGCTGCTGTTATACAGGTGAAAGACTTTAGTTATCATCTAGCAACTACAAGCGGTGTTCTTGCCTTTTTATCGGCAGTCGTTTTTGCTCATTGGCTTGGACGTACTTCAACATCGATTGTTTACTAGGTCAATGCTCGATCGTTTTTAAATAAGTTCATTTTAATTCGTTCTGTCAGTTTTGAAAATGTATACGTTCATTATCTTTTTTTTTAATAAATGTGATTCGATCAGTGATT